TCAACGTCAAGCCGAAACGGTGTGACAAGATTGATTTTAACCATCATGAGAAAAATCAGAAAGAAAATCTATCCCATGCAGTTTGAAAATTATGAGCATTTAAGAAAAACCAAGAAATTTGGTCAAACTGTAACCATTTTTCGGTTATTGTGGTTAATTTTTATTCATTTAAACTTTGGAACCATAATCCTAAATAAGAATTCCAGAACCACAGTAAAAAATAAGGACACAATTGCCTTAAGTTTTCTATTCACAAATTTTATCGACTTTGAAAGGCCTTTCTTAAAAAAATGTACTAAAGTGCCTTGGAAAGTATCATAAAAAGTTCGCGCATTTAATCAGGATTCTAAAATGGTACAATACTTGTTAGTTTCATACTAAAAAAAACCGAGTAAAAAATATAAACCTCAAGTAACCCGATTTTAGCTAACCTATTTTACTAAGTTAAGTTAGTTTAAATTATTTTTTATTCGCACAAGTTCTTGGTAGGTTCTTAATTTTACGGCAAAATTATGAGAGAGATGGTTAGTGGACATGTTTGCCATGAGTGAGTGAGACAGATAGTCACGCCACTTTTACCAAAGTCAACAAAAGTAGGTAAAATTAATAAGGTAATGAAAAATATTGACCTAGTTTAGTTTAGGTTTATTGGAATATGAACAAAAATTTGATTTGATTTCTTCAATACATGATTTCAATCATTATTTTTTACAATCAACAAGATAACTTATACACAGGTATGTGTTACTTTTATAGTTCATAAATATATTGATTTTCTTTATTATTAAGAATTTTGTAATATTTTTATATACAAAACATTTTAGTCTAATGAAGAACTTTGACAGACAACAACAGTTCTCATATTAATCCTATATTTATTTCAGCTTATTCCACGTTGTTAACAAAATTAGTTGCTTATCTAATCGAGGAGAAAATCCTCTGTGGTGACCCATTTAGCTGATGAGAAAATAATTTCACTCTAGTTTCTGTTGAAATCGATTTAATAATATTAACAAAGCAAAAATATGCATTTTACGGATAAAATAGGATATATTTATATACTATTCTTGAATGAAATTGAATATATCTTATATATAGTCTCTCTCAGTATAAGCTATATTACAGCAAAGTTTCATTAAAATCCGTTCAGTAGTTTTTGCGTGAAAGAGTAACAAACATCCATCCATACTCACAAACTTTCGTGTTTATAATATCAATAATAAGATGTACGCAGTGCCCTATATTATGTTAATATATACAAAATTTACAGTGTAATGAGGAACCGATTCCATGTTTATTAAATAAAAATCAAATTGTATGTACGCAAGCAAATCGCATCGAACGCATCGGATCACGAAAATGGTTCCGTAATAAAAAATATGATCCATTCTAACCCGTGTTTGTAAAACATTAAAGTTGCTTTTTTTGTGGCACTAAATGAATTATTTGTCATATGCCATTTTATAGTACACTGTGCATAATTTAGGATAGGGATGAGTGATAAACATCGATGTTTTAGATAATATCGATACATCGATATTAAAACACTAATAATATTATTAATATATTTAGACAGGCTTTAACAAGAATAATTTGTGGGAAATAAAAGTTTATTAGACTAGTAGTTAACTAGTCTAGTAACTTTACTTTTCTACTAGTTTGCACTAATCGTGGTCAAGACCTGACTGGAGTAAGAGAGAGGGGTAAACATTTAGCATAAAACTATTCGCTTTACTAGCCTAGTTAACTAGACTTTTTGACTAGTTTATACTTACCGTGGTCACAACCTGACTGGAGTAAGAGAGAGAGGTATATATTTACCATAAAACTATTAGTTTTAAAATTCATTTAAACATACTGTATTAATAATACATACTGTACGCGAATCTATAAAACATAAGTACCAATAATATTATTGACAAAAAACAAGTACCGAATACTTAAAAGATCTAAAAATGACATTCGAAATACAATATTACAAGAAACCAGAAACGAAATGAAAATAGGTTAAAGGGAAACATCGATGTTTTCTGTTATCGATATGTCGATATCGATATCGACGTTTTTCTAACATCATACCTAATTGAAGATAGGCCGTTGCCCGTATCAGGTGGTACCGTTTGCGTGCAACCACGACGGTTATAAAGTTTGGGGGCTCGCCAGGATGCGTGACGGTGGACTGACAGGAACACTGTCTACAACGGAGCTCTGAACGAACACAAACTTGTAACTTAAATTCATGAAAGAAATACTATTATTTCTATAACCATACAATATTATGTTATATGTGACCACACTATCGACGGCCTCGGTGGTCTAGCGGTTTAGCACACCGCTATACTTGATGGTCGCGGGTTCGATTTCTCGCACGGTACAAACATTTGCATTCATGAGTCTTCCAGCGATCTTGACCAGATCGTTGGTCCCCCTTGCTGGAAGCCTTCCCACGCTGCGTCTTCCGATCCGTGGTCGCCACTCGAGGACTTTATTGCCCCAACTGTCCTTTGTATTTACATAAAAATATATCTATGTATTCTATGAGTACCTAACAATAAAGCAAGTTCTACCTTGGAACTAGATGGCGCTGTATGATTCGTTCAAAGTTATTGTATTATATTGTAAATTATTATACTTCCCTATTATTAATAATCCCCTTATAACTAGTAAAATGGATTATAAAGCATTTTCTAATGATTCTGTATTATGGTAAACAATATTTGAACAGAATACGAGCTGAGTTTCTTGTCAGTTCTTCTCAGCTCGAAAGCACTCCGAACGGACGGTAGATTTTTTTAAAATCAAATGGAATGATGCATCCGCCTGCGCTAACGGTTTACTCTGGCGAGGCACCAGTTGAAGATTATAAGATGAGCATGAGGTCAGGTCAGTCAGCCCATCGCAGTAAATTCACCATGAATTTATCACGATGGTTTCTAGGGGGAACCGCATGGAGGTCCACCTGACCTGGTACATTGCTAGCAATCCACATTACTAACAATTCCTTTCCCCCCAACTGACTGTAGATTTAACATATCATAAGAGTCTGTAATAAACCTACATGAATATAGATATTTCGCATTTATTTTCAAAACCATAAAATCAAACAAACCAGGGCAGATAGCTAGTGAATGGTACAAACCCAATAATGTAATTCTAACAAAACTTTAAGGTCACCATCGCTAATGCACCGTCCTTGAATGCTATTCAAAAATACACGTTCGTCGTCCATAATAGCGACTAAAATGTAATAAAAAACTGATTAAATCTACGGAAACCACAATGAGGTCATGTCTGGGGACCTTGTCTGCGTGATCTGCACTGATTGTATTGTTTATTATTTTCCACGTTAGCCTCTCATATGGGCCGTTATGGGTTTAAAGTCCAACCTATAGAATATAGTCAAAAATATAGAACAGAATAGAATAGAAAATCATTTATTCAAAGAAACTTAATTTAAGCACTTTTGAAGAGTCATAACATTTTTCGCTCATTCGGAAAGCTGTCTCATCATAAGAAGAACGAGCAAGAAACTTGTGTGTTGCTCTTTTAAATAATCCTTGTAAGTTTACATTTTTCAAGTCGAAACGTGTGAATACAAACTATCAACCGGCACTAATTTATTAGGGTCAAATATAAATACAAAATAAGATTAAATCTGTCGTAGTAATAAGAGCAAACCAGTCCCTACAAGCAGCAGTCGTTCACGATGAGCCAGCCATCACTGCGCTCGACCATATTTTAGGGAGCTCAATGACCGGGCCCACCACGCCGCCACATGTCTGGACATTTTAGTGAGCATGAAGCACTGAAACCTCCTGGTGTCTTCACAGGCTTCATTTAACGACTATCTAGGTTGTTGATTAAATATAAATATATATGATATTCAAAGTTTGTAAAAATATTACACTTAATTTAAAACAGGGGATAAAAGTTTGTATGAAAATTCGTCATTTTAGAAGGTAGAACGATGAAACTTCTTTCTTTAGTTATTTTAGGTTATCATTCAATATTATTCTTTATTTGATTAAGCCTACTATTCCACACAGACGAAGTCGTGGACAAAGTTAAAAATAAAAAAAAATGTGTTTGTATTTTTGTCGAAAATCTACAAGAATGTACAAAAATGGACATTTAAAATGTACAAATAGGTCTAGAATATACAAGAATGGGGAATTAAATGAAGATATTAATAAAAAAATATCGTTTGAAATAGTACGCGTGATGCATCACCAACACTTCAACACTTCAAGTGTTACACACATGTTTTGGCAAGTTGTTCTAATGCCAGTAACTTGTCCAGATAAATTATGAAAGTATATGAACACAGAGAACGTAAATAGATACAGATTATATCGGTTCATGATAGTCTATTTCCGATTGGCGTGCCAGCCAGTGTTATTGGCGCACTGAACTTGGCAACGTGGTTACGAAACCAAGTCATTCACATCGTATCCAAACTGATATCATATACTTATCCATATTATAAATGAGAAAGTGTGTCTGTATGTTTGTCAACCCTACGTTTAACCGTAGGGTTGACAAACATACAGACACATTCTGAATAAACAGAAAAATACAGAAACATTCTGAATAAAATTTAATGTAAATTTCTTTATATAATTGTCACGTAGACCATATGCTATACCATGTGCTAAGTTGCTATTCCTATTGCGCCGTTTCCTTTTTATTGTAAAGCAGTAACCGCGACTTCGTCTGTATTTGCTTGGATAGCATAAAATATTTATTAATCTCATCAAAAAACAAAATAAATAAATCTAATCCTTCAAAAATTATGAATTTCAAACTCACTTTGCCTATTTTATTTTATCCCCTTAAGGGTCAGTCAATAGTTTTCTTTGATCTGTTCGAAAGCTGTCTCAACACAAGAAGATTCGTCTTTTGTTTTAGATTTATTATTCATAATTAGTTGTATTTAGTTAATTGATAATGAATTAACTATACTTTATTCTGTTTTAAATATTATGTTTTGTTTGTTACAGATGAACAGGAAAGAGTACAGAAGAAAACATTCGTCAATTGGATCAACTCACACTTGTCGAAGGTGAGTTATCCAGATCATTGATAGTACTACTTTATATGGTTTTTTACCAATATATGAAAGTAATGTGGATCGGTAGAGTAATAAACCCAATGTTAGATACTGAAGTGGAAAAAAAATTAGGACGTCAAGTTTTTTAAATATTTACTATATTTGTTTTTAATAATTTTGTATGTGTGACCTACAAAAAAATAAAAAATGATACAGATTATTTCTTCTTTTATACAAATTAGTATCAGTTTCTCTTAATATAGACCAGCAGTAATCACCAAGCATATTTTTATCGCAAAAACCTTGATACCTCTCTTCATAAATTTTCAAATCTCGATGAAAACGTTCACCATGTTCCTAACTTATGCTTCCCAGGTTCTCAGGAAAAAAAATGAATTTTTGATGGTGCGAATGTAAAAAATGAATTTTTAATGACATATTCAATCCCAGCTTATGGTAATTCTTCAAATTGAAAGCAATTTCTTCATAATCTTCTAATTTATGGTTGCCCAGGAAATTAGCAATCACTCGGGTATCATGATAAATTAAACTGTTGCAGTTAGGAAGCAAGCAATTCAGATTTACTTCTTGAAAGCTGCTAATCTCTTAGAAGATCATTCGATTCACTCTGTGAAATTAAATGTGGTTCACTATCTTCAGATTCAAATTCGGGAATATTATCTGAATTGTGACTTAAGTCTATACTCTGCCATTTCAGTCTCTATGACCTCTGGTTCATTTTCCTTGAAGTACTGGGCAATGATGGGTAAGGCACTCTTTCAGAATGCAATACAAGTTTTGTGACTGATGAAATTTCAGGGTATAGTATATACTTACTGTTGTTGTTATTAAAACCTGAAGTTTTGGTAAGGCAAAAGTAACAGTCAGTAGCGTGAATTGTTCTCTCCATAACATTGGGACGCCAAACTGCAAGATTTTTTTTCCTGCAGACCAGTTCAATAACATACTTTTACAATTTGCACATGTTTAATTTTAAGATTAACACAACAAAAGCGAATATTAATTCTCTTGTCGTGGTGTTTGTTACCAAACTCCCGCTAAACCGATTTTTATATAATTTTGTGTGCTCTGGTGGCTTTGAGAATTGGTCAACATCTATTTTTCATACCCCTCAACGATACTGGTGAATTTTATTCTAATTTTGCATTAAAAATATATACAACTTCAAATTTTCACCCTTTTACGATCAATCGCTATTTTTAGGGCCGGGCGGGTCGTCATTTTATTGTAATCAGTACGTTTTGATACATCCGTCATACTCGTGAACGGATGTTGCTTGTGGGGACAGGTCTGTTCGAGACACGAACGCTGATTAGACTATTTGCATATGCTGATGGTCACTCTATTCTCCCAAATTTGAATTTAAATATGAATCTGTATTATTGAAAGCATGTACAACATTTATTTGAAAAGAATAAGAGCTGAGTTTCTTGTTAGTTCTTCTCATCTCGAAATCATTCCGAATTGATGGTAGATCATAAGAGTATGGAATAGACCTACATGAATAAAGATATCTTGAATTTAGAATTAGTTGTTATGATGCTAAATCCTGTTTAAGAAATTCTGGGAAATCATCGATTTGGTTTCTGGTAGTCTATGACTGAAGTCATGAACTAGGAAGAATGTACCTTCTGCAATCATAGAAATAATTCTACATGAAGAAGAATTTACCTTCTTCAATCATTGAAATAATCATGTCTGTAATAGACCTACCTAAATAAAGATATTCTGAATTTAAACTTGAATGTTTGTTTTCAGCGCATACCGCCATTGCGCATCGATGACCTGATCTACGACCTACGTGATGGCACTAAACTGTTGGCTCTACTCGAAGTGCTTTCTGGTGAAAAATTGGTGAGTTTCAAAATCATATTTTTATTACTCTAAAACAAATTACAAGTTTATCGAATTAGAGGTTATTTTGAGCCCCTTTTTTGCTTATCATATTCGTACATATACAGACAAAGTCGCAGTCTGGTCCAAACAGTCATTACTAGGCTTTCATATTCTATTCATTGCCTGATAATGCTTAGTTTAGTAATGAAACACGTGATGGTGATTCAATGATACCTGGAGTTTGATCACCAATACCTCGTGGCCCTTCCAGTAGCAGTGATCAGATTTCCACACCGAATATTTGTGGTCTCACATAACCTAAAGGAATTAAATAAAATAATACAAATCCATTTGATTCTTCTTTTTACAAATTATCTTTTTACGCAATCGGGATTTCTAATCACAGTGGGACCCCGCTTAACGTTGTTTCGTTTTATTTCAACCCTTTTATCTTTTATTTCAACCCGGGGATTCGGAACAACGAAAGACGTCGAGGAAATAGTTCAAGAAACAGCAGCTAGTCTGTCTAATAATGCCACTTGGCAAGTCTCAATTCTTAGGAAATTCCTTTTCATTTCGCGCTGCTCAGTTGTGGAACAAACTACCTGTACAGATACAGGAAATTCCATCAATTAGTTGCCTTAAGAAAAGGTTAAAATCGCACTATTTATCGACCTTAGTATGATTCGTCATGTATTTTATTATTTGTATTTTGTGTAATATATGTAGATATCTATAATAATTGTATATATATATATATATATATATCTTTTATTTATGTTTATTTTGTTTATTATTGTATATTTTATTATAGTTATAATATAATTAGAACATCATTTAATTTGTTCAATTTTAAATGTTTTGTTTTCTCAAATTTTGGTCATTTCAACATAATATTGTTGCACTATTGCACATGTGTTACCCACTCACTAATAGTTATGCCTCACTGTTGAGTTGACTGGTAGAGATCTCTTTTAGAGATAAGTCCACATATGCTCACTCTGTATATATTTAAGTTTACAACTGTATTTAAAAGTGCAATAAAGAATATATATAATGAGCTCAAGGAATTGACAGAGCAAGAAGAAAATAAAAATATAGAGAGCCTATAAGCCTATAACCATGTTCTCGATTAAAATTTTTCAATCGAGAAGAAGGTTATAGGCTCTCTAATGCCTGGAATCCAGAAATCGGTTTAATTAAACAAAAACAAAAAACGCGATCGAAAAGTGTATTAAATGTACGTAAAGATACTGTGAGTACAGTTTGCCGAGATGAATATCGAGCGAGTTTCAGTAGTAGCAACAAACGAAGACGTGTGAAGGTAGACGCATATGTCTGCCCATAAAAAGATTTCATTTTCCATCTACCCGCTGCTCTTCAGTTTACCCGTGATCATGGTGGTTGAAACACTACCGAAATATCGGGAACTCAGCAAATAAATATAAAACTTGGTAAGATCCCGTGATTTTTACTAATTATACGTAAAAATATTGATAATAGTGATTTCGAAGACAACAAAGAAAAACAGCCTTGTTTGATGCTGTTTCGTTTAGCGCTGGAACTTATTGGAACGTATTCCCCGCGTTAAGAAGGGTCTTACTGTGTTAAAGTATTTAGACTTTGTATAAAGTCGCCTGCGTAACCTTTTGCGTAGGTACCTATTTCAGCTGCAAAACAGCAATCATTATAAAATTTGTAAATTTATGCGTGGAAGCATGATACCTTAGCTCCTCCTAACACTATTGAGTGGCACCACGAGCGTCACATGATTTTGTTTTGTCATTGGTTTTTTATGTATATAGGCGATTATTGCTATTTATAGGCGATACCAATTTTGCCATTCTCATAGTCACATAACATCAAATATAGATTGTTTCCCATTTCCTTACTAAAATATGTAAAGTCATAGGAATAAACAAATAATTATTGTAGCGAAACAAATAGAGCTGACGTTTAGACATATCCCATGACGGATTCGGTGATCTAGTTGATTAGCATACCTCTTTACTTCCGATCGTAGTGGATTCGATCCCTCGCAAACATTTATATTCAGGAGTATAATTGTTTGTATTGGTTGAGTGTTTTCTATCTATAAATATATATAACTCAAAGGTGACTGACATGGTGATCCATCAACACACAGCCCAAACCACTGGACGGATCGGGCTGAAATTTGGCATGCAGGTAGATGTTATGACGTAGGTATCCGCTAAGAAAGGATTTTGATAAATTCCACCCCCAAGGGGTTAAAATAGGGGATGAAACTTTGTATGAAACTTCATCAATTTTAAACCGATCGGACAGAGAGTTTGCTTGCATAAAGCTACTATGACGTAGTCATCCCCTAAGAAAGGATTTTGATAAATTCCACCCCTAAAGGAATAAATTAACGCGAGCGAAGCCGCGAGCAAAAGCTAGTGTAATATATATAAGTTGTCTAGTACCCATAACACAAGCTCTGCTTAGCTTGTCTTGGGTTACTATTACTATAATGATGCAAGGGAAACTGTAATTTTCAAACAGCATTTAGCATTTATTTAATAACTATATTATAAGAAAGTTGACGAGAATATAATTTCTTTTAGCCTATGGAGCGTGGTAGAGTTCTCCGCCGGCCTCACTTCCTCTCCAATGCGAACACAGCACTCCGGTTCCTCGCCGGCAAAAGGATCAAGCTGGTGAACATCAACGCGGCTGATCTGGTCGATGGGCGGCCAGCTGTCGTCCTGGGCCTTATTTGGACGATCATCCTCTATTTCCAGGTAGGATGAATCGTGTAGGATCAAGCAGTCAACCCTATACACAGAGAGTAGCCATGATTGTAATATTAAAAAAAGCTCCACTTCTATTTTAGAATACTTATTTATTTTATTCCGAATTCGCGGGTGAATAGCTAGTCTATACTAGAGTTACCAACCGTAAAAACTACGTCCTGTTTTCCCAGGACATGTTCCTGGGAAAACAGGACGTAGTTTTTAAAGTTTTTTTCTGTTTAAATCGTTTTGGGAAATTGTCGTTTTGGTTTCTAGTAGTATATGACTGAAGTCATGAACTAGTAAATTCTTCTTCAATTATTGAAATTCATCATTATTAAACTTCAATAATTCTATGATTATCGTGAGAGAATGAGTCATCGTGTAACGAATCTATAGTAAAAAAAAATTCTACCACTCCCGAATTTCTCTCAATCATTCATAGATTGACAATAAAGAATATTTGTGCCTATAGCTTGTGTCAATGTACTGACTAAGTACTTCTGGAGTTTTAGTATAGTATACACTAATTGTTACCCGCGTCTTAATTCCACATGGAATTAACTTCTTTTTCAATAAAATAAATAAGTATTCTAAAATAAAAAGTGGTCTAAGTTACTCCTTATAACATTTATTACATTTAACATTTACTCCTTATCTGCGAGTGAAAGTCCCGTCAAAATAGCAAATTTTTTTTTTATGTAATTACGGTATATACTTTCATATGCATTTAGTGAAAAGTTAATTTGATATTACAAACAGTATTACTACTTAATTACTACAATGATACTTTAATTTTATTTAACTTTAAATAAATACTACTATATATGTATTTACAATATGAATATATCACGACTACTCACTGTGTTCTTAACATTTATTTTTAAAGCACCAGAGTGACGTCACATCAACTATTTAGATTTCTTATTAACACTTAGGTAATCTGTAGGTAGAGTTTAGATGAAGATATTACAGACAGAACATTTATTTGAAAAGAATACGAGCTGAGTTTCTTGTCAGTTCTTTTCATCTCGAATTCATTCCGAACTGACGGTAGATTTGACATATCCTAAGAGTCTGTAATAGACCTACATGAATAGAGATATTTTGAATTTGAATTTGACATAAGAGTCTGTAATAGACCTACTTGAATAAAGATATTTTGCATATGAATTTGAATTTGAAAATACATTCGGAGAATTCCTATCATACTGTGTGTGTATATTGATGAAACAGGTTTTAGAAAAAATAACGTCTATAAAATAAATTGAGAGATTTATTTCAAACTCGTTTATTCCCATCTGTTCGCTCATATATGATTCCAACTGCCATTTGATTCCATTCTCGATATATATTAAAAATTCTCGTATCACAATGTTAGTTTCCATACTATTACCAAACAGCTCAATTTTTATTAAATTTCATATGCTCATTTAGTAGATCTGAGAATCGGCTACCATTTTTCATAGCCTTAAGTGATAAGAGTTGTTCATATAACATTTATTTTTAATTTTTTTATAATGTGGTATTAAAAAATACATACAACCCTAAATTTTCACCCTTCTACCATCAACCCCTATTGTGAAAGCGACATTAATTTGTATGGCAAAACCACATTTGCCGGATCAGTTTCTTAATATAAATTTTATATTGAACTATAAAGTTGACAGCCAATAGCAGAATATACATGTATAATTATTGGCATTATTATTAACTATCTTATGATTTAATAATTAAAGTATATAATCGTTTAATTTCGCAATGTTTAACAAAACGATCTTTATCTAAATTTGCACTAGTTTGGTGACACGTATTGTTATTGGCGCAAGAAGATCCTTTTGTTAGTTAACTTGTTTAGATGCACTATACAGTCCGTTTAAATGAGGATATACTTTTATTATGTTTTTTTTTAAATAAATATTGTGTTGGTATAGAGTATTACTATAAAAATTGGTTAATCTATAGAGGAAATAACGGAAATAAAGGATGAGAATAATAATCACCTAGACATATGAAAATTATAAATTTCTTAATAATTTACAAATTGATAGACAGAAGATAAAATTATTAAATGTTATATTAATTCTCGCCAAGGGTAGTACTTTTTTTATAAGTGAAAATAATGAAGTATTTGCTATTTAAGTACAAATGGTCACTTCGTAATCTGAAGCCAGCAAATTACAAATTTCATAAAATGTTCATTCTCTCAAAGAGTAATAACTTTTTTTTAATGTAGATACCTCAAGTTTAACTGGTGGTTATCCTATCCGTATTTTGATATGACTTTGACGAGTTGTATATCAATATCAAATACAAAAGTACAAATACAATAATCATTACTTTATAATGATATAACGTAATTTCTTGATAGACCATAAAAATCAGTTAGAAAAAATCTATTTATAAGTATAGATGGAGAAAATCTATATAATATGGAAGTCGTTTGTTACGTGAAATATGTAACTGTACTATTTCTTTAATAAATAAAAAAAAATACTTTATTCCAACTCAATAAATATTAATTACTTAAAACAATACCCTTATTTTTTTTTAATATTAATTATAAAGCTCGATCTATTCTCATTTTAATTGGCTTGAACTAATTTTGTTTGCGCAAGCTTCTCTCAATATATTGGACCCACAGGACAGAGGACCACAGGTGGGTAAAATGCTTCACGGCTTTTAGATTGTCAGCTGTAATACTTGTTGATAGAGTTTATTTTAGAAGATTCATATAGTTATAGCTAAAAAAGTATTTAGTGGCATTTCATTTTAAACTTTGTAATAATACGTAATGGCCTTGGTGATCTAGCGGTTTAACCACTTCACTTTCGATGGTCGCGGGTTCGATTCCTCGCACGGTGCAAACATTTGTATTCATGAATATGATTGTTTGTATCGATCTGGATGTTTACTATGTATATTATATGTATTTACAAAAATAACTAAATATTTATATGAGCTATCTAGTACCTATATCACAAGCTCTGCTTACTGTGGGACTAGATGGGGCTGTGTTAATTGTCCAGGTTAAAAAAAATCAATATTGTTTTATTACTTTTACAAGTGGACTTCTAATTGTCAGTATTATAAATATATATATATATATATATATATATATATATATATATTTACCCATTAATATGTATTTACAATACGCGTATATTACAAATAGTGTATATACTATATTAAGCAATAGTGTTCACATTAAAAATATATCTTTACTTCAGAGCATGAAAAAGTCAAAAGAGAGCAACAAACAAAGTGATTTTTTGGAATATATGGGTTAACAACGTGTTCACTTTGTTTTATGTAGAATTAAACAACGATTTAAGAGAATATTTTCTTTATTTTCAGACACAACGCCTGTCAAAATGAACATAGCAAATAATAATATATGAGTATTAAGTTTGTATTACGTAACGTTTTGTTCTCTTAAACTCTTTATTGCTCTGAGATTACTGATTCGAGTTTACGTTTAATTTACGATACTTATTTATTATTAAAAAATAACTATAGGATTTGCTTTTTTATACCTAATACGGGCTATAGATGTTATTTAAGTAATATTATTATCAAAACCTGCTATTGGTTGACGAAATCATTTTCAATTTTAGTAGAGGGAAAATCACGATCACAATTTTTATTTTTTTTGTATTATTTTTACTGGTTTCCACGAGTTTAGTGTGGTTTTATTAATGGATATATCGAATACCGAACTACATTATTAAATAATATTGATTAATGTTGTATTAACATACTTACAATTACTAGGTGATTTCCCGCCCAAATAAATTTACTCTAATAATCTATGGTAGAGTTTTTTTTTCTTGAAAATTTATAGGCTAAGGACATATTAAACATAATAAAAAATATTGGGTTTCAACTAAATAATTAACTAAACAACATTACTATGTGTAACAAAAATATGTAGTTGAAAATTACATTTCGTAATATTTATAATACATTGGTAGACAGATAGAGACCACAGATAAGATAATATCTGTGGTCAGATACTATTACACAGTAATATAAATGTTTTTTTTAATAGAATTGTATTATTTGGATATTTTTTTTCAAATTTTTTTTCGTGCTTCACCACTGTTTACCTGTGTGTTGTTTTGCTACTGAGGTGTTATGTTCATTGAATGATAACTCGATTAGATATATATGAAATAGAGATGGAATTTTTTTTATACAGTTTTCGACTAAAATTCAAATTGTATATTTCCGTAGATTTGTATTATTGAAAGTTTTTGTAATGATTTATGTGATCCAATAATTCTTGAATTTTACTTAAACATTTTGAATACAGTATTGCTAGTAACACAGATTATTAACAGATGTTTTGTTTATACATATATATATTTATATCTACTATATTTCCACCAGATTGAGGAGAACAGTCGGGCGTTAGAATACCTTGGTGGGTCAAGATGTGCTTCAGCCATGTCCCAAGAGTCAGGAGCCGCCACTCCTACACAGAGGGCTGAGGACAGGTGGAAACAAGGCGCCAAGAAGACCTTGTTGCAATGGGTTGCAAACGCATTGCCCAAGTAAGTTAATTGTTGAAAGAAATATGTCGTAAATCTATTGTAGTCCCTTTTGTGGGCACGAACGAACTATGCTGGCTAGATAGGGACAACCATTTTCGTTAGGGAGGGGGAGGGGGGGGGGGAATGATCATTTCTCGTCTCCAGTGAAGGAGCAGCCCGGATGTGAGCACAGAAACCATTCCGGGCCTACTACCCTACCCTGCTAACCTCCACCCTTCACACAATTTTCAAAATATCCTGTATTTTTGTTTTCCGTAATGTTGTTGTTTCATTATAGTTACTTAACTGGGATTAAACAAATTTATTCTTTCACCAGGGACTCAAATATTCAAGTAACAGACTTTGGCCCTTCGTGGCGAGACGGTATAGCCTTCCTTGCTATAATCGACGCTATCAAAGCCAATCTGATCAATTTGGCTGAGATGAAGAGGAAAACAAACAGGCAACGGTTGGAGCACGCCTTCGATGTGGCAGAAACAGAGTTGGGTATTGCCAGATTGCTGGATGCTGAAGATGTAGACGTGGAGAAGCCAGATGAGAGATCCATTATGACATACGTAGCTCAATTCCTGCATAAATATCCTGAACCCAAGGTAAATCTTTTGCGTTTACTAATTGATTTAAGATGATTTTTTCCATTTAGTGCTACGTATAAATTAAGATACAGATTGAATATTTTGGAACTTTAAATACTACTTTTTTTTTATTCTATGACGGTGGCAATCAAACATACGGCCCATCTGATGGTAAGTGGTTACCGTAGCCTATGAACGTCTGAAACACGAGGGGTATCACGTGCGCGTTGCCGACCCTTAAGAAACCTTAATATATCCTTCTTGAAAAACCCCATGCTGCAGTCTCGTGGGAAAATCTCGGCAGGAAGTTCATTCCACAATCTAAGTGTACGCGGGAGGAAACTCCTCTGAAACCGCACTGTTCGGGACCACTTAGGTTCCAGCGTGTGGGGATGAATTCCCTGTCAATGGCGACAAACCCTGAAACTGTATTGTAAATCTAGATTTATATTTGTAAAATATCAAAATTATAAATATCATTACATTTTATAGACAACAGGACCTGATGCCGTAGCAGCAGTACAAGAGGAGTACGAATCTCTTAGAATGTGGCTGACAGAACGAGTCACCACAGTTCAAAGGCAATACGACTCGCGAACTCTCTCGCGAAGCTACGAGGACTATGTCCGCGCCGAAAACGAGAGGCTCGCTCGTGAACCAGTGTATCAAAAACTCGAAAAACTAATGTACACACAAAGCCTAGTGGCCATAGCACCAAAATCTTGGCGCGAGCTTGTCTCACTTTGGATCGAATTAGAGAGACTACACAGAAAGTGGCTCTGGCTCTTAGACTCAGATCTTCCGGGAGACTTCAGAACCGTTGGTGAGTGGTTGGCTAAAGCCGAATATCTTCTATACTTTGATGAAATACCAACAAACTTAGATGAGAGAACCGCCGCTATCATCAGTGAAAAGTTGGAGGAACATACCACATTTTTCTCCAGTCTCCCCGAAATCATTGACAGATTTGAGGCAGCATTAAGATCCCCAGATGCCGCTAAGATCCCATCGGGAAGACTCCAAGATATGAAGGAACGGCTTGAGACTGTGAGTCGAAGAGCACCACAAAGGAAAGCTAGATTAAAGTACTTGGAGCACAAATGTTGTATCGTAGCATTTACTGAATTGACTAAAGCTAAGTTAGCCGGTTGGACCGGTAAATACGGTCGTATTGATCATGTTCGTGCCTTATTAGATGACTATGACAATTTCGTGACTAAAAATAAAATATTCCAAGAGTTTGATAGAGCTTATGTGGATATAAAACAAGTAGCAGATGAGTATAAGAGAGTGTGTGAAATAGATAAAACTGAAGCAAGAGAAATTGACATATTTTTGAGAGATGTATCGGATATGTGGAGACGAGTGGCTTCAGATGTGAGGTGTGCCCGAAGTGTATTAGAAGAGGTTATTGCTCATTGGGAAAGATGGAATACTTTATCTGATGATTTTACAAGCTGGCTTGATAAAGCACAGCACATGTTAAGAGTATCTGAAGATGAAAGATTAGAATTCTTCCAAGATTTAACTGTGTGGAAAGAGAAGCATCAGCTTCTTGGCGATGCAGCTGGATTTTTAGCTGCAACTAGCAGTGAAGACATAAGTTCGGAAGTAAAAAGGAAGTATGTGGAAATAACTGAACGCTGGGAACGTGTATGGGAGGAGGCTGAGCGGTAAGTTCTAATTAAAATTCTTTAGGTTTAATTTATAAATTTTATTAGTGTTCGTTACACTTAACATGTAACTGTTTGAATTTTTAATTGCTTTTCCTTGACCTTTTCTACCAGTTGCGATTTTAGTTATCCAAAAATACGTATGATTATTTATAATAGTTTTATAATATAGCCTGGGACTAGATGGCGCTATGTGAATATCCAGACATATTATTATTATTTTAGCTATGTCCGCGGTGGAGACGCTCTTCGTCACCGCCGGGAACTGGCCTCAGGAATACAACAACTGGACAGTTGGTTAGCGGCAGCTGATACGCTGCTGTCGCGCCAACCTCGCGCTAACACAACGGATATACAGACATATATTGATCAACTTCTACAGCTCAACTCTGAAATTGAGCACCATGAGGAACTATTCAAGACTATTAGCAGGTTCGTTCGTAATTAATTTGGTACGCTTTTAGTATTTTACGATTGTAATATTTTTACTTTTAGCTGATGATAAGATAAGACGTCCACAAGGGAAGACTAAAAGCATGATAATAATAAAGACAAATAAAAAATAATCACCATAATTTCCATAAGGACCATTTTAAATTTGATACTAGAAAAGATTACTAATTGCTGTTACTAATAATCCCTGTCCTCACAATTATAGTATTACAGATTTATATAAACAATATAGTATGTTTTGGAAAATTTACACAAAAAACGAGATTAGATAGATTATACAAGAACATATTCCGGTGAAAGAATTGTGTTAAGCAGATCGGAGTAAATGTAGATCCTCTTAATTAACAATTGTCATAAACATTTGCAGAACTTTCCAAACCGCAATCGCTGAACTGCCCCGTGATGAGGTAGAAGCGAATATGGCTAAACTGAAGCAACAGAAGGAGGCACTGGTCCGAGTCAGAGCTACAGTTCCTGTGAAACTACATCAGTACAGGCAGTTGTTAGTGCAGCACGAATCATTGGAGACTGGACAGAAGGAGATCGGCCAGTGGTTGGATAAAGCTGATGAAGCGTTGAGGACAAGTACAGAAACAAGACGGTGAGTTTTTATATCTTTACTATTTTTCCATCAAATTCGTACCGTAAATGCATTTTTATTTAATTGGTGTAATGGCAAACAAGCTGAGAGAAGATTGCACTATTCGCCAGAACGTAAAATACCAACCTGATCGTCCGGATAAATGGCAGTTTTCCGCCATGCGTTTATCCAGAAACCTTTTGCCACGCACAACCACCTTCTAGAATCACCGTCCAGCAATGGTATTTCCGACTGATACGATATTGAAACCTTTAAGAAAAGAACTTATTCCTTCTTAATAGACGGCGGTAAATACTTACATGTTCTTTGTCTATAAAGATATTCATCTTTATAGACAAAGAACCCCACACATCTAGAGTATGACCCATCATTGTTCTTATTTCATTGGAATCTATTTATTATTTATTGCTTGAAAGAGTAACAAACTATCTACGCAAACATTAATATTTATAATACTAGTAGGATGCCGGAAGAATTTCTATGATATGGAAATGAAATGCTATGGTTTGCTAAGAAGAATAAAATGACGTCACCCTAATTCCAATATGGTTTTAAAAAAAATGTTTTTAATTTTTTCTCTGACAGTGAAATAATAGAAGAACGCTACGAGATGCACCGTACGTTCTTCTCCCGGACTACTTATTATCGCTCAATGCTGGAGAGCAAAAACAAGGTGTTCCAGAACATAGTGAAAGCGGCTGATACCGACCGCAGCGCTGACGTCACTGATCAGGTTCGGCTCATGAGGGATCTGAATGACAGGCAAGTGGTTTTTTTATTACTAGTTGTTATTTCGCGATGATGATTGTTTTGAATATACGTTATGGTTAGTTGTTTTTTTTCGAACTATTCAAATACTGCACGCAGTGGGCCTTTACAGCCTCAGCGAACCGATAGATGGCGAATGCAGTTGAGACTCCAAACTCGCGGAATGACTTATGGAGCGGTTGAAAGGAGGCGTGCGCGTGTGGGTGCACGCACATGCTTCCGGGGCCTTTTGATTGAAGTACTGCCTGAAGGTTGGCATCCCTGGAACTGTGTTATACTTCATATGTTGCCATCCCGGAGAACAAAGATTATACACCCGTACCTCGTAATTGAGATTTTGATAATATTTTCTTAGATTTGCCCACGTATCGTCCGAAGCCACTCGACGAGAAGCTGACTTACAACGTCTGGTGAGGGCTTGGGAGGACTTCGAAGCCAAAAAGCGATCAGTTGAAGAATGGGCGTCCAGAGCTGAATCGCTACTCGCTGATAACCGTGTAGACTCGAAGCAAGCGGTAGACTTCCATAAGAGATTCTTCCAAGGCGCTGATGAGAGGGCCGTGTCTGAACTGGTCCGGTCTGGACGAGAGCTTATTGAGGTAAAGATTTATTAAATTTGTATTATAGATGCGAATCTTTGTTAGAATTATTGGTTACGCAAAAAGTTCTAGACAGTATTCAAAGAAGAGTAAAATGGTACATGTCTAGGCATGTTAGATGTAGGAGGTCTAGATTAATAATAGTATATATTATCCCATATATCTCGGGAATAGCACTAACTTTTCTGAGATATACAAAATTTGGATTAAAAGATTTTGCTTTTAAAGTTTAAGAAAACCCAACAAAACAAGATTGCAACAACTATACTAGAATTACAAAATAAACCTTTCACTAAGCTAGGTCTCGTAATTTTTTTTGCATCAGAACTATATTAGATATTTCTTAATAATTCTATTATTTTTTAAAGAACAATATCTACACTTCTAAAAAGACAGGTTCAGTTTAGTATTGAATGACTGAACGGATCTTATTTGGTTCAACAGCTGGTGAACGAAGAAGATCGTTCTCGCGTAGTGCAGACAGTCGAGGATCTTCAGCGCCGCTGGAGAGAACTGCTAGCCCGCGCTCCGCCTCACCTCATGCGCCTTGAATTCCGTCTTGACGAGGCTGTCTTCCACCACTGCATTAAGGACATTGAAAAAGAGATCGTATACGAAGAACAGGTACAATATCATCTTGAATACAATCGTTATCATCTACCTGTGCTAATCATAGTGCAGATAGATGGTAGCTCCTAAATCTTTAGAATTAGCAATGGAAAAAATATTTTTAGCTATATTACTGTAAATTTCTGCTTCTAATTTTACGAATTTCCGCCTGCTTAATGTCAATGCTCGTAGGAAATGCATTGCCCTCTCACCTATGTTAGGTCGTGTAGGTATAAAACGTGGACGTGGGGTATAGGAAGTGCGAAGTGAATATCGGAATTGTGTATCTTATAGTATTTTAAACATGAAAGTTGGATGTGAGACATGTGAGTATGGATGGATGTTTTTTACTATTTCACACAAAAAATATTTAATGAATTTTGATGAAACTTCATCATTCATTAAAAAACACACAGTAATATATCTGATACATCGGAATAGCTGCATTCTAATTAGCTAAACTAAGCTATATAAATAACCAACCTCTGTATCATGACAGGTTGTTGAAGTTGGTCTTTGCCAGATTCTACTACTAAACCACGACTCTCCAACTCATTCTCATTGGTTCATGCTTCCTTGTTAATATACATTAAAATTTCCTCAGGCATACAATCAAAGCGATGACGCTGATGGAATCCTGATTAGGAACGAAGAATACTTCCGTAATCAAGGCAAGATTATGCAAGTGGAACACTGTCTCCAAAATCTTAACAAAATCGCCTCCAGCTACACCCACCAGACCGGAGAGACCGTTTTAGAAGATGAATTAAGAAAATGCGAACAACAATGGGAGAGTACGGTCAGACGAGTTGAGAACTTCAGGCAACAGCTGCAACGGATACCGGCCAAATGGGATGCTTACAGAGAAAAGTTCAGGGAAATGGAACGGTGGATGGACCATGTTGATAAAACTATGGATAGCATTGTTAGAGAAGTGGATTCTGCAGAAGCATTTGAACGTGAAAAGACTATATTCCAGGTAGGTAGACCATCGCGATAGACCACAAAGTCATTCGCGGAGTTAAGACAAATGTACCCACTTCTGCCTCGCCTATTTTTCCTGTCAAGCTTCCATAGTAACCTGTTTTCTCTGCCCTGTTTGAAGAGTAGCATGTGGCAATGAAATTACGGGGTAGTCCTGAGGTATGGTAGAGTATGATGGGTTTAGCAATCACATGAAGACGTGACGACAGTAATGCCACTTTTCATCAGATAGATCGTCGGTTTATTGGCCTTTCACGTTATATATAAATAAGTACTAGATCAATATATGTAACAAAATAATAATTTACAAATGTATTTATTTGTTCACTATGGCGCATTAGTAGTTTGTTTGTTTGTCTGTTTGAAGAGTAGCATGTGGCAATGAAATTACGGGGTAGTCCTGAGGTATGGTAGAGTATGATGGGTTTAGCAATCACATGAAGACGTGACGACAGTAATGCCACTTTTCATCAGATAGATCGTCGGTTTATTGGCCTTTCACGTTATATATAAATAAGTACTAGATCAATATATGTAACAAAATAATAATTTACAAATGTATTTATTTGTTCACTATGGCGCATTAGTAGTTTGTTTGTTTGTATGTTTGAATTATTACAATATATTGTATTGTAAAATGTTGTACAAAGACAAACTTTTATATAGTATTTTTAGCAACGACATAACGTAGTCTTGTTTTATTAAGCTGACGTAGGAATTGTAAAATTGGTTCATTAATTATGTTGTTTTCAATGCTCTCCACGGATGTAGTTAAAGGAACTAATGGTAACTAACTGTTTAATTTTATACTATTCTTATATTTTAATGAGTCATTCTTAATTTTTAATTAATTGTAAGTCTGGGTTTATAATTATTATCTGTTTAATTTTGTAGAATATTTGTCGTGAAGCTGACAAAATGCGAGAAGACATGAAATGGCTTGTCCAAACTTTGGACATGCTCACAAATCATTGCTCAGAAAACGAAGCCCAAGAAGAACAAATTAAACTTGAAAGCCTAATAGCTAGATATAAAAACTTGATACCGACGATAGAAATTACAATGATAAAGACAGAAACTTATACACGGTGCTACACTTATCGTCGTGAGGTACACGAAGTAATTTGTATATTAGAATCTGCCAAGGAACAAGCGATGATTGAACCGGAACCTCAGTCGTTGCAACACGTCGAGCAACTGGTCGTAGAACAGCAAACGGCAGTACAGAAGCTTGATCGCCAAAGACCTTCAATAATGTCTATGCTGCAACGTGGTAAGGACTTAATAAAAGATGCCAACGCACCAGCATTTGTTAGAGAAGATGTCAGAAACTTAGAAAGTGGATGGAACACAGCATATGAGACTTCGACAGACCGCCTGCACAAATTGCGTGACACCCAAAAAGTGTGGTCCAATTATGAATATCAGAAAGAGGAGCTTATGTCGGATATTGATAAAATTGAAAATTATATTGCTCATCCAGGTTTGGAACTCGGTGTGAGTAATGTTGGACGTGAACTCCATGAAACAAAAGCTCTTAGTACTGATATTCAAAGAGCTAAGGCTGAACGATTACCCCAGCTACAAACCGCATATGCTGAGTTGCAATCTCTAACTGCAAATAAACCAAAGCCTGTAATAGAAAAAGATTTGGAGACTATTGAACGTAAATTAGGCAGAGTTGAAGATGAAGTTCAAACAAAAGTGAATCATTTGGAGAAATTTAATGAAGAATGGGTTAAAATTGAACATAAATTGGAACATGTCAGAGAATGGATCAAAAAAGAAAGTCCAGCACTTATATCACAAATACAATCAGAAAACATTACACCAGAGGAACGTGTTGAAAAATCACAATTGTTACAACAAGTCATTGGTGAGAAGCTCAATGTAATAAGAGGTGTTGCTGACCAAGGAACAAAATTAGCTGTGCAATATCGGGTACACGATGCTAACAGGCTAAAGAGTGAAGTTGCTTTATTAGAGAAAATGATGGCTGATTTGCAACGTTCAACCGAACACCAAACTAAAGTTGTCGAGCACGATTTAGCTAGCTGGCAGAGATATCAGAAAGGTGTATCAGAAATTAAACCATGGATAGAGGAAGCTGAAATAAAGTTGGGTAATATGCCTAAACCTAGTACATTACCCGAAGCCCAGCAGTTACAACAACAATCTAGGGCATTGATTGCTGATAGTGATAAACAATTGATGAATTTACAACTTCTCTCAAGTGTTAGTCATCAGTTATCAGGAAAAACTAGTGCACCTGATGAGGTTGACGCTATTCATTCTAGATGGGCAGTAGTTCATGATCTTGCTGATCAATGGAACAATAAACTTGACAAACTTGTTAGTAATTGGGAAAACTTTGAACGAGAAGCTGAAAAAATAGAAACCTGGATTGAAAATGGTGAAAAATTACTAAATACCCGCAACCTGACAATTGAATCTCCTCAAGTAGAAAAACTGGACCGTGAGCTGAACAAGTTAAAATCATTCGGAAATGAAATTTCTCAACAACAAGCAAAAATTATTAGTTTGTCACAGACCTGTGATAATATTTGCCACAGTATACAACCTGAAGGTGCCGCAATACTCAAAAATAAAGTGTTGGATATTAAACAACGGACAAATACTTTAGCTGATACAGTTAGAGATAGAGTAAATGAACTTTCCGACAAAATTATTGTTAGACAAGAGTTTATGACGAAATTACATGGTTTTGATAACTGGATCACAGATTTTAGAAGAAAAACTGAAAGTTATGATCAAATTGCAGCAGATAAGGTAGAACCAACATTACAGTCAATGCATGTGTTGTCACAAGAACATGCTGCTAAGGAACCCGAGTTCAGAGATATTTATAACGAAATTAAGAATATGACTCTAACATCACATCCCGATGAATCACGTTCTTTGAGTGAAACCTACTCAAATATTGCACAACACTATCAAATAATTGAGAATAATATTCAACAAAATAAAGGAATATTACAGAAGTGGTCTGATCTGCTAAATTGGTATGATGATACAAAACAACAACTAGGTCATATTCAATATCAGATTGAAGGCCCAAAACTTACACCAGAGAGTTACGAAATATTACGGCAAGAATTGGTCAATATTATTACCAAAGTCCCAGAATGGAAGAGTAATGTAGCTCTATTAGACGGACCTTCAAAGGTGAAAGTAACTGATCAAAATACCGGTAGAATTATGTCTCCAACAAGTTTAGTAAAAGAGATTGAAATGAAAGCTGATGCTTTATTAAGTCAAGTTACTTCCAAGAGAGATCTAGTACAAAAAGTTGGTGCAAGATGGGATAAATTTAACGTGCAACATAATGCCTTGGCTCAAGTATTACATGATGTTCAATCTGCACTTAATGATATGGCTCAAAAGCCAGTTCCACTAACTGAGGCCACCATCCAAGATATCACTGAACAATTAGATAAACTAGATGAGGAACTGAAAGATAAACAGTCTATTAGAAAAGAACTTAGAGAAGAGGGTTTACATCTAATGAGAGAAGATCAGCCGAATATGGGTACAATACAAAATGCTCTTTCATCTGCTGATAACAGCTGGGACCAAGTAGTTAATGCTGTCCGTGATACAAAAAATAAATACATCCTTTTATCTTCTACTTTGCAAGAGCTGAAGAACTTTACAGTCGCTTTTGATCGGGAAATGAACAGAGCTGAACAGCTATATAATGATTCCAAAGATGCTCCTAGTGATTATGTTCAGACTGCCCAGTCTTTAGACAAAGCGAAAAAATCTTATGAAATTCTTAAACGATCAAAAGCCTTGCTTGATCAAATGGATGTTATAAAACAATCAATTTTAAAACAAGCTGCTACTTTAGGTGGTTTCGATACATCTCCTTTAGAAACTGCATTTTTAACTTCGCAAACCCAGTGGGAAAAAGTAAACGATGCTACAATTAAAAGAATTCAAGATTTGGAGTCCCAATTAATTGTATGGAGGCAAATCGATGATACGAAAAATCAAGTCATAACTTGGTTGAGTGAAACAGGACAAAACTTAGCAAACGCTTGCGATAATTTAGAAATTAGGTTTGGTCAGAATCATCTTACAAAATACAAAGAAGAACTACCAATATATTTGGGTCTGAAAAATAGTATTAAAGCTAAATGTGAACAGATTGTGAATTTAAATAAAAATATACCAATTGGACAAGTATCTTCTATTACAGAGTACTTAGATAAGGAATTTGATGCTTTGCAGACATTAGCAGATAATTTGGAAGGTGCTGTGTCTTCTTTGGGAACAAAGGAAAATAAATTGAAGGATACTATAAAGCAGCTTTCAGACCGTGTAAGTAAAATTCGTGATGATATAATTAAATGTGATGATATGACAGGAGATAATGCAAAAATCTTAGATCGTTTGAAGAAATGTCAATCTTGCAAAGTAGAATTACAAAATTTAAGTGACGAAATCGATAATCTTACTCAAAATGTATCAGAAATGAATGTAAATTACCCTGGATTTTATGAATCATTAGTGCCAAAAGAATTGAGTACTCTACAAAAAAGATTTGAAAGTGTTCTCGTACATGCAAATAAAACTGAAACAACTTTATTAACTTTTCTTCAGAAGCTTTTTACTGATAAATTGGCAATGTTTAATAGAAATTTAAAAATTTTGGACGATAAAACAAGGTGGTGTATGCCTGACGTTAGTAGCGATAAATATAATTTAGAAGTTAAAAATGCTGCCTTAATTGATGTAGAGAATGGTATTGCAGAGTGCGTTGGTAAAGTAAAAGAATTACAAGAAGCTCGAGATATTTTGAATGTTGTAGCTGAGCCAGCATGTGCCCAAGAAGCAGCCATTCAAACAGAAAAAGCTCAGAAAAATCTAAATGTTCTGACTTCTAATTACGATGAAATTAAAACTAGGCTTAAAGAAAATATAGATGCTTGGCAAGAATATGAAACATTGTTAGAAAATGTTTCAGAGTGGTTAAAAGACAAGGAAAATAAAGTTAGACAAGAAGCAGCTAATTTGCTCAATATAAATGAGATAGACGATAAAATAAATGAAATTAATCAAGTAAATCAATCAGTGAAAGAATACCAAGCTGACATCAATAAACTTACTGATATTGGAGAAACATTATCTAGTAATCCTGACTCACGGGTATTACAGTATATCAATCACTTAGTTTCTAGATATCAAACTGTTGGTAAATTTATGGATAACCATCTTAAAAGATTAAATGATTTGAAAAATAACAAAGAAAAATATGACAAGTCTATTCTAGAATTCAAGAACTGGCTTCAGGAGACTAATTCTAAAATTAAAGACTTAGCAATGATGAGTAAACATTCCAAACCATCCGCTGCTGATTTGGAACAAATTAAAAGACTGAATGACAATAAAGAAATTGGACAAAAATTATTAAATAATGCAATTGAATCAGGCGAAGCTCTATTCAGTGGAATTACTCCCGAAAGCCGTGAAGAAGTCCGAAACGAATTGAGATCTCTTAGAAATTACTTCGAAGATTCTGTTGATTCTCTTAACAATGTCATTAAAGACATTGAAACTACAATCAATAAAAGATCTTCATTTGATGACACATTCAATCAAGTACAGAAATGGATTAGTGATAAAGAGAAAGAACTTGGCGAATTCGTTTTATGTCCTACTCTACCAGAGAAAAAAGCTCAACTTCATGGAAATAAAATCTTACACCAAGAAGTTGAGTTACATACGTCAATGCTTTCGCAATTAACGGATAAAATCAAACTTATGCCTGATGAAGAAGCAGAAAAGAATTTAGCAAAAACTATAGATAGATATAAAAATATTTCAAAAGAACTTGAAAAGAGAATCAGTGCATGTGAAGGTCATGTGGCAGATCACGAAAAATATGTTCAGTTATTTGAAGATTGTCGTGATCGTCTAAATCACATTATTGCGGAAAATAGTTTGTTAAATTACGGAGTAGTTACGCAAAAAGAAGATGTTGATTCCAGAATAATAGGTATTGAAAAAGTAATATCAAAAGCTAATGACATTGACAATACACTCCGTAATCTTAAATCTCAATTAGATACAGTTCTTTTGACAACCAGCTCTAATGGTCATCCGGTATTAATTAGTGAATTTGAACAACTTAAAATTACCTGGGATCAATTTGCTACACAATGTAAAGAGCAAGATAAGAAACTCAAAGATACACTAAACCAATGGAATGAGAGCCAAAAAACGTTGGACGAGCTTGAGGAATGGCTAAAACTTAAAGAAAATCAACTTAGGGATCAAAGTTTGAAAAATAATCTTGAAGCTAAAATAGCACATTTACAAAAAGTTAAAGAAATTCAAAGTGAGCTTGCTTCAAGAAGTAAAGATTTTGCAACATTAACTACTAGTAAACAAAATGTAGCTAGTGAATCTGAGTTGAGTAATAGGACCTCTAAGCTTGCAACAAGATATCACTCTCTAAATAATTTGGTTAATGAAATAATTTCTAAATATGAAGTATTTGTAGCAGAACATCAGGAATTTGAAAACGAGCATGATAGTATGGAAAAATGGTTAATTGGTATGCTGGGCGAATTGCAAGATCTTAATGAAATTGTTGGTGACTATGCTGTTTTACAAGAAAAACAAAATAAAGCTAAGGAATTATATGAAATCAGGAATAAAAAGACTCCAGCTTTTGAAGAATTTTTAAGCCTTGGAGAGAAACTGTATACGCATACTAGTCCGGATGGAAGGGAAATTATTCGACAAAAGATTAGAAAGATAAGAACATTGTGGGATAGTTTTGGAGATAGTTTTCAAGAGACGGTTAACAAGTTGGATCAATGTTTATTACAATTCTCAGATTTTTCACTCGCTCAGGAGCAATTAACTAAATGGTTAAAAGATGTGGAAAGAGCAATGCAACGTCATACGGAGTTAAAAGCATCGCTAGAAGAGAAGAAAGCACAGTTACAAAATCATAAAATAATGCATCAAGAAATAATGACCCATCAACAGTTAGTCGAGTCAGTCTGTGATAAAGCACAACAATTAGTTGATCAAACACACGATGCTTCTTTGAATATATATCTTCAGTCTATAAAGCAATTATTCCAAAATATTGTTACTAAATCTCAAAATCTGCAAGATAATTTAGAAGACTGCGTTAAAAGGCATGAAGATTTAGTACGTCTCATTCAACAATATAAAGAATGGTTAGGATCTCAATCTGAAAAGCTGCTTGATATTGAAAATGCCACAGGAGAAAAACCTGAAATTATTAGAAAACTGCATTCAGCAGTTGCTTTAAAAGATATTGAAAAAATAGGTTCTAATAAATTGGATGAAATACGTAATGTCTTTTCGTCTGTTAGTAAGAGTACATCAGAAGCAGGAAATACAACTATTAAAACCGAAATTGATAATTTACATGATCAATTGCGGAATATGGTTAATGGTATCATAGTTTCAGAACAAAAATTGAAAAATACTTTGGAAATATGGAATAAGTTTGATTTATCGATAGAACGCATTACCGACTGGCTCAAGGATATGGAATCTAAATGTCGTGATCAAAGTCTATGTTCATCATTACAAGAAAAGGAAGCACAACTAAAGCGTTATGGAGATTTAAGAAATGAAATTAATAGTAAAGAAAAGGAAATTGATGCATTCGTTGATGAGTCTCACAATCTTATTCAACTCAGTGGAGTTGAACGATTGAAGCCTCTCGTTACGCAAATAAGTAGTCGTTATCAACAATTACATTTGATTTCTAAAGAAATAGTTAATCACTGGTCTGAATTAGTGTCAGATCATAAAAAATATGTCCAATTACGAAATGAATTAGATGCGTGGTTAAAACCTTTAGAAGATCAGCTATCTCAAATAGTTACCAAGGAAGATAAGCTTAGTATAGAAAGCAAAGGTAATAAGCTTCAGGTTTTCTTAATGGAAAGAGACAATGGAGAACATAAAATCAGTAACTTAACAAATGCGGGAGATAAAGTTCTTCCTGAAACTGCGGCAAATGGAAGAGAAAATATTCGCACTGAAATAAGAGCTCTAAGAGAAAGATGGGATAAACTAAATGACACCATACTTCAACAACAAAAAGAATACGAATCGCAGACTCTACAGTGGTCAAGTTATCAAGATGTACTTCAACAGACCTTGTCATGGTTAGATGAGAAAGAAAAGATAGTAGACACTGAAGAGAAAGCTGTCTGTAATTCGGCTCAGGAAATTAAATCAAAATTATTGAAGAACAAGACACTGTTGCAAGAAATTTATTCACATAAGAGAGTAATTGAAACAGTGACAGAAAAAGCTAAAAGCGTAGCGGCTACTTTAAATTCAGCTAAAGGAGAAAGCGACGAAATGTCCTCTATAATTCAGTCAGTATGGGATAGGTATACTGCACTAACAAATAGACTGTCACTTATTATTAATAATCATGAAAGTAACTTTGAAATTTACCAGCAATTTGCGGATCAACAAAAATCTTTGCAAGATTATCAAAAACATTTATGGGACCGTCTTCACCTCTTATCAGACTACACAGGTAACAAATCAGCTTTACAAGGAAAGTTATCAAAGATTCAAGAATTGTTGGATGCAATTCCTACGGGAAATAACAAATTAAAAATTTTGTCTGATCTAATAGACAGTAATGTGGCAAAATTATCACCGAGGGGTAAAGAAGGTATGTCTAGGGAATTAGGTTTACTGAAAGCCGACTTAGAGAAATTTACAGCGACAGTTCATGATGTCAAACGTGGTATTGAAGATAAAATACAGCAATGGATTGAGTTTGACAGTGCGAATGATCGCCTACAGCATTGGTTGAGTGATACGGAAATGAGCTTAAAGACTTACACTCCAAAGGCAACATTAGAAGAGAAAGTGGATCAACTAAATAAATATCAGGTTTGTATAATTTTTATTATAATAAATTCTATTCATAATTTATATCAAAATACATTATATAAATTTTCAACCAGGGTTTATGTAAAGCAATTGCTATTCACGAAAATGATTTGAGTGCAGTCATAAAACTGGGAGAAGCTTTGGATCACGTAAGATTATACAGAACCATGAATTATTAAATATTCTCAGCACTTAGGATATAGCTTAATTTTCAGTAGATTGTCTAATTCACAAATAAATATAATAATGGTTTAGTTCTAACAGGAGGTTTATATGGCTACCTGCTTTTATTTACATATTTGTAACCTATCACTTTATTTTTGCTCTAATGTGTAATAATTTATATTACATTGTTTAAACTTGTTAGAGACACTGGTTAATGGCATTCCTAATTTTGATATGTCTAATTTTATTATAACAACTATCTATCTAAATGACGGTACTAATGGTAGATGTCGTAGATTAGTTTAAAAACTCTAGTATGGTAAAGGCGACAACTTATTTTATTAATGAAAATATTATTTCAGGCTATTTTGGCAAATTTGAAGAAAACCGAAAACGATGTTGACAAAATCACAGATGAGTTCAGTGACCTCATTGAGAATTGTAATGATACTAGAATTACCATGAATTTGCAACAAATGACATCACGCTTCCAATCAGTTCAGTCGACAGCAAAAGAGCTTGTAAAGAAATGTGAACAAGCTGTAAATGATCACAATGCCTATCAAGAGAAATATAATCAATGCACAGATTGGATAAAATCAGCACAGCACAAATTTGAGGAGTCTAAGAAAAACTCATCAAATACTCCAGAGGGTATTAGTAATAAGAGAGAAAGTCTGAATGATTTACTAAGTCAAAGACGGAATGCTACTCTGTTAGTTAATAATACCTTTGAATTAGGAGAAAAATTATATCCATCTACATCTCCTGAAGGTAAAGAACTAATTGATCAACAGCTTCAGGATATACAACAAGCACTTGACAACTTATATGATAATATTACAAAGGCAGAACGGGACCTGGACACGGAGTTGAATAAATGGTCTTCTTTCGAGGACAATCTTAAAAGCGTCCAAAATTGGCTTACGTTGGCAGAGAAAAATTTACCTAAGGAAATTGAACTTAGATCTACTTTAGACGAGAAACGGAATCAACTTAATGTTTACCGTATATATCTACAGGATGCCATTGCTCATTCACAAGACATCACTAACTTAGAAGAACGTGCTCAATCTCTTCCTGATGTTACAAAAGACATTACAAAAGATATTAATCAGCTTAAGCAGAGACATGATACCATATTAGCAAGAGCTAAGACTTTCGTTGAACAATACGAAGCTATTGTTAATAACCATCAGCAGTATACAAAAGCAGTTATGGATTTGCAGGAATGGGTAGAAGCTACCCACAATACAGCTGCACTATGGGGTGATATTAATTTAGAAAGAGTCGCTTTAAGCAGTAATTGTGAAAAATTAAAGTCACTGCAACTTAGTCTACCTGAGGAAAAGAATCGTATTGATAAAATACGTTTATTAGGTGAAAAAGTATTGCCCGGAACTATAAGCAGTGGCCAAGCCAATATCAGAAACCAGATTGATTCCTCTCATCAAGAATGGGAAGGATTGGTATCATTCATTAATAAGACAATCGAAACTTTAGAAAATAAAATTCAACAGTGGAATGAATATGAAAATATGAAAGATCAGTGTATGGCATGGATTAGAAATACAGATACTCAAATCCATGCTGTTGATTTAAAGGCAACTTTACCACAAAAGCAAGAACAATTCAATAAATTCCAAGAGCTCCAAGGAGAGGTACGTGCTAAAGAACTTGAAATTGACAATATAACGGAAAAGGCACAAAATCTTTATACCGGTATTTTGGGTCCTCGTGGTTCACAAATATCGGATTTATCTGTCAAATACCAAACTATTTCACAAAAAGTTAAGGATTTGACAAATAGATGGCAACAATATGTTAAAACTCATCAAGAATTTGCAACAAACGTCACTGAATGTTCCCAGTGGATCGAAGAATTAAGAGATAAATTAGATTTCTGTGCTGACTTGAGTTCTTGCTCTCAAGATGATTTAGAAACAAAACTAGTACTTATCCAAAATTTGTTACTGACAAAAGATGAAGGATTTACAAAAGTTCAGTCCCTTGTAGAGCTAGCTCAAAACGTATTAGCTAATACGGCACCAGCTGGTCATGAAGCTATAAATAACTCTTTGGTGACTTTACAAGAGCAATGGTCAGCATTGTTGTCAAGAATGATTGAAACAAAGAGTATGTTAGATGACTCAGTAACTAAATGGGCTGGATTTTTGGAACAGATACAATTGATAGAAAAAAGCAATAACTGGCTTGAGAATATGTTAGCAGAATTAACACCATTCGAAACATCTATTCTTGATAAAAGAGCACAACTTGAAAAACTTAAAGAGGTAGAGGAAAAAGCTCGTTGTGACCGTTTAGATGTAGATACATTGAAAGCTAAAGCTAGTGAAATGTTAGCTAGTGGTCAACAGAATCAGGTAGCATCTCAAGCCCAAGAAACTTTAAATAAATTTGATACACTATACGACAAGATAAAAAAACTATTAGCTGACCGCGAAGAACAGTATAAAGATCACAGGTTATACAAAGAAGCACACGATGACCTTATTCAATGGCTTAGTAGAGCTAGAGAAAAGGTTCCTTCTTTAAAAAGTAAACCATTGAGTGATAAACTTGCAATAGAGAACTCAGTAGCTCCTCTTGAAGCCCTAATCAATAAGCAAGCACAAGGCGAATTATTACTTGAACATCTACAACACACGGGTGAGGTTGTACTAGCTAGCACATCACCTGATGGTCAAACCATAATTAAAAATGAAATGAAAGCACTTAAAGAAAGCTTTGATGATCTTTTTAATGAAATTAAACAGCAAAAGAATCAGTTGGAAAATACCGTTAGCCAATGGCGTGAATATAAAGATGAATATGAAAGGTTATCTGACTGGCTACAGCAAAAGGAAATTCTTATTAAAAATCACAAACTTGCTTTACTTGGTACAGCTAAGGAAAAAGGAGCTCAAGTTAATGAAGTCAAGGAAATAGTAGATCAACTAAACAAAGGGAAAGATGATATTGATAATTTCAATGCTTCAGCTGCTGGTCTACTTTCTTCTCATTTGGATACATACGTTAACAATCAATTAAGACATTTGAATTCAAGATACCAGGTTCTAGTAAATATGGCAAATGATGTTCTGAAGAAGGTTGAAACAAATTACGAACAACATCAGAATTATGATGATAATTATGCAAAGACCAAAAAATGGATTGATGATGCATGGGAAATAACTCGTAGTGGAAGTGAAGCAGGTAGTAACAGCAGCAAAGATTCATTACAAAAAAGATTAGAACAAATAGAAGATTTATTAAAACGACGTGAAGAAGGTCAGAATCTTGTTCATGCTACAGTAAATAGTGGAGAAAAGGTGCTTAGAAATACAAGATCTGATGGTAAAGACAAAATAAACACTGAATTAAAAGAATTGCAAAATGAATGGGATCGTCTTGTTAAAAAAATGACAACAGCAAAAGTACACCTTGAAACTGCGTTACTACAATGGGCAGATTATAGTTCAAGTTACTCACAACTTCAACAATGGATCTCAGACAGGGAAGCAAAATTACAAGAGGTGTGTGAGCATAAAGTTGCTAAGTCTAAAAAGGGCCAAGACCGTCTCACTGGTCTAACTACAGGGCTTGGTTTAGGTGAAAGGAAAGCCACACTCCGTCAAACAAACAATATTGTTCAAGATATCGTTTCGTTTGAACCCATGATACAGTCTGTAACTTCTAAGGCTTCAGAATTAATGCAGCAAGCACCAGCATCTGAAATTACTAGCAAATATGAAACGTTATCAAAACAAGCTAAAGATTTATATGAAAAACAGAAAGAAACAGTTGAACAACATCAAGCTTTTATCGATGCTGGTACTGACTTTGTTCAATGGATTAGAGCTGCTAGAGAAAGATTAGGCAAGTGCTCAGATGCAACCGGCGATAAAGAGTCATTGAGTGGTAAAATTTCTCAACTTAAGGTATTAGAAAGCGAATTACCTGAAGGTCAAGCAAAACTACAAAAAGCGCTGGAGCAAGGAGAAATTTCCTGCGGCCTTGCTGATAATGATGACAGGGAAGATATAGAGGAAGAAGTAGCTCTTATGCAAGAAGAATACGATACATATGTGTAAGTATACTTTAAATCTGTTAGTTTCTAACTTTTTGTGATATATACTCTATCCTAAATCTTTAACGTAATTTTACAGTGAGCAGCTTAATAATACCAAAGCTTTAATTGAAGGAGGTATCGTTAAGTGGACAGAATATGAAGAACAATATAAAGAAGCCTTAGATTGGTTGTCAAAGACTGAAAAATTAGTACAGTCGTTTAACAAACTTCAAAATGATTTGGAGCAGAAGAAAGTTGTATTAGAAGAGTTCCAGGTGAGGTGTCTTAAACAGATTGATATAAAGATATTGAGATTGATAAATATTTAGTACAGATGTTTATAATGCACCTATTATTTTCAGGGACATCTGCAAATGCTGTTCGATTGGCAAGCTGAATTAGACAAACTGAATATGCGTGCACAAATTCTTTTAGAAACATGTGCAGATACCAGAATATCTAACGGTATCACACAATTGACAACAAAATATAATGCGTTGCTGTCTCTGGCTAAAGAGGTCATGAAGAGGCTTGAGTTGCACTACCAGGTAAATCTACAATTTTGAAAATATTAAAGATAGAAAATACATAAGAAATCTTTTTTAATTTTATATTACAATACATAATTACATACTACTGTACATAAAGAAATGGTTAGAGTAAAATTTGCTACTTTTTAAGAGTACTTTTAAGAGAGAGATCCAGAGTCTTCTTTTCAACTCTGAATAATATACGATTATTATGTACTTAATTAATATAAAAAACAGATTCTCTAATTATTATACAATTAATTTTCTACGTTTATTTTACATTATTAAAGATAGTATAAGAAAAATAACAGTATCTAATCTAGAAAATATGTTTGTTACACTGGTATTCCTAAACGACTTAATCAATAGACGTGAAATTTAGCATTTTTGATAAAAAAAAAGAGTTTAAATACTAGACAATTTCTATCCTAGTCAATGGTGGTCACAGACTAAATCCCTAGTAGAAGCCTGTATATAATATACATACACATTTTTGAATATTTTTATGTATTTAAATGTGATAACAAACGTGAAAATTTTTAGGAACACCAACAACATAATGCTCTGTATGGAGAGTGTCAAGATTGGTTAGACAGAACACGCGAAAAACTCAACCAGTGCGCTGATATACCCAACAGTTTACCAGAAGTCAACAGCAAACTTAACACTGTCAAACTTTTACGACAATCCTTAGAACAAGGTCAAAACAAATTAAGGTATCTTCTAGAACTCAAAGAGAAGGTCATAATGAATACAGAACAAGCGGGAGCAGCGAAAATACAAGAAGATACGGATAATTTGAAACAAGAGTTCGATAAACTGATAGCTGATTTACAAGATGTTCGTAATAAGCTGACTAGTAGAGCTGCTCAATTTGATGATATTTCTAAGGTAAGTAAGAAAATATATATAGCAATGTTTATACACTATTTAACACGTTCACAGTTATTTACAGTGGTACATAGAAGTAAGAATAAAAATAATCTTTATTAAAATAAACTTAATATGGGCAAGTACTTTTGAATACTCATGTATATTTTTATGATTCGCCCGCTCATTCAGAAAGTAATATACAATTGATAATATTAATTAGTTTTCAGTAGTAGTGGTGACGATATACGTAGAAAGGGACTAATAAAGTGGGTAGATAGATTTGTTTGTTCATAATAATCGAGTCGATTGTATATACCCACCCCCATCTTCAGATGTAACCAGAACGTTTGTAGCAGCTTCGAAGTATAGAGAGCTCTTAAATAATATCATCATAGTAAAATATCTCGGTTATATAATGTATACAATAGCTTATTTTCATCAATGTTATATTAGTCTTTAGATAAATGGTACAGTGTGCTATTACTTTAAAATTAATTTACATTTCTGCTTAACTACGCGTTGATGGCAAACTCATTCAAGATACAGTAGTACGAGTAGGTTTGCCTCATCCAATGTTAGCACGTCAAGTACCTCAACGTCAACAGTTGACAATTTCTGTTAATATATCCCACACTACCTTTCTAAAATAAATGTGTTGGGGCAATAGCGGATGATAGGGAGAAAAGACATTCTGAAGAGATACCTGGTGCAGAAGGCTCGTATGGTGAACAAGAACCACTAACTAGCGATCCCTGTTATCTAAACATAATATTAATTTTATTAATCTTATATTTTTATTTATTGTTTTATGTTTATTTTCAGATACACAAGCTACTTGTCGAATGGTTGGATGACATCGACCAAAAAATTCAATCTGATGATTCTCTTCTCAATGACCTGTCGGAGAAGAAAGCAAAGTTGGAAAAATTCAAAACGTTCAATAGAGATATTGATTCACATAGTGATCTCGTAAAGAGATTAAATGAGAGACTTCAGGAGGATTCATCTCTGAAGTCTAAAGAAATAGAAGATACTTTGAAACGTTACGATAATATCAGAAAGACTGTTAATGAAATGATATCTGTAAGTAAACCACTTCTTACTAGATACATACATAACGATGCATTTTTATTTACTGTACTTTCGATAAATATAAATAATTTAAAATATATATTAATTAGATTTTAATTATTTGTTAGTATATTCCTTTTATTTATAGAAGAACGTCTAGTATAAACAAAGGTAATTACTTAGATAGAGAATTATAATTTTATTTTGATTATTGTAACTAAGTTAAAAAAATTATATGACCATCAAAAATATAAACTATTAGGTACACTTGTGTAAAGTTTAAAATATACCTCTACTATTCTTTATTCATTCGTATTAAAAATTAAAATATCAAATATCATCGACGTATAATATATTTTTTTTTATATAAACATTTTAGAAACTAGCGGAATACGTGAACTCGCACATTCAATACAAAGAGGCGTATGACAATTTCTACGATTGGATACGGAATTGTAAGATAGAGATCCAACAATGCTCGGACTCACACGGTGAGAAGGAAGAAGTACAAAAGAAGTTAAAGAATGTCAACCAAATAATAGAATCTTTACCGAAAGGAGAAGCACTTCTTACCAAAACTATTAAGCTTAGTGAAGCGGTCTTAAAAACTACTGGTAATGAAGGCAAGGACAACATCAATCAAGAAATTAAGCAACTTCAGATTGAGTGGGAGAACCTGCAACAAATCTGTAAAGACACTAAGAAATTGCTGGAGAAATGCATATCAGCTTGGTCTGATTTCTTGGAAACTTCAGAAAAAATGAGCAAATGGGTCAAAGAATTCGACAACAAACTCAAAGTTGTGCAAAAAGTGGATAAAATTACACCTGAACATCTTGATAAATGTCGGGTAAGTAAATACGTTGAACAATCTTAAAATGCTACTACTCTTTATTTTTAAATATTGTAAGCTAATAGGCTAAAGTAGAAATATTTGAAGTCTTATAATTGTTTAAAAATTGACTAAAGTTATTATATAAGAATGTAATAACTTTAATTAATTATTAACTAATTCTAAAACAGATTTTAATTATTCAATAAATATCATAATTATCATATGATATCAGGTTAATACATAAAATACTTTAGAAATATAACATTCTGTAAAAATTCCAAGTCAATATCCGTGTTTTTATGTCAATACATGTAATTTTATATATGATTTTACAGGAACTGCTAGCAGAAGCTTTGGGACATAAACATGTGCTAGAGGAGCTAAATGATAGATGTGAAAACTTAATGGAGCTAAGCGCTTGCGCTTGGGTTCGTGATAAGACTGTAAACTTGCAAACTGAATACACCACTTTATTAACGAAAATACAAGGCCTGGTTTCTAATGGTGAGAAGAACTTATCCGACCATACAGAATTTATTAAAGCTAAAGAAGAACTTCAACAATGGCTTGAGACAGCACACGGTACTGTACAAGATTCTATTGGTGTTGGTGATATTGACACTACAAAAGATAAGCTTGAGACTGTTAAGTTGGTTAGTAACCGCATGACGGAAGGACATCACTTGTTGATCGTTTTGCAAGAAGCTTTCAAAAAGGCATTAAATAATACTCCACCTGAAGAACAAGACGGCCTTCGTAATGATGTTAAGATATTGCAAGAAAGTTGGGACCAATTAAAGATAGATCTCAATTCTATTACTGCTCAACTCAAAGCTGCTATTGGTAAATGGGACGACTTTGAGGAGTCAAAGAATAGACTCAACCAATGGATTAAGGATACAGAACAAAACTTAGACAAAGTTCCAGCTACCAGCGGTGAACTTGGAGAAATGAAAACTTTGTTAGAAAAATACAAACACATTGAAGAAGAGATTGACAAAAAGAAACCAGAACTGGAAAGGTTGAAGAGCGAAGCTGCTGAACTGAGTGGATGGGCAAAGAAACCAGCTGTCAAAGAATCTGTAACAGAAATTGAACGTAAATGTAACGCTTTGAGAGCTAAATGCGCTGCAAAGAAAGCAGAACTTGAATCTGATATCAAAGATTATAATCAATATCATCAATCACTACAAGATACTGAAAAGTGGTTGTTACAGATATCGTTCCAGCTTATGGCTCATAACTCCTTGTACATCGCAAATAGAGAGCAAACTGAGGAACAGTTAGCACAACATGCTATTCTTCTAGATGACATACAGAAGTATCGTTCAACTCTTGACGAGTTAGAAGCCAAAGGTCGTGCGCAGATTGACAGATATGAATCTACTACTCCATCTATTAAAGATACAGTAGGAAAACAATTGAAAAACGTTAATGATAGCCATAACTCATTATTAGCAACAGCACTTCAGATCGAGCGTCGTTTGCGGGAAGGTCTGGCCAAATTTAAGGAATACGAGGACACATTAGAGAGTATTTTGAACAATTTAGATGAATGCGAACCAGCTATAACGGAGCTCGACGTACCTGTAGATGGTCTATCTCATGGTCGTGAATTGCTGGACAAAGCTAGGGTATGTTCATTAGTATTATTGCCATATATATTTTTCTCCAAGAATTAAAATTGTACTCTATGAAAACATTACAGTTAATTCAATATCCACAATATTTGCTCTCATTGGTCAGATACTTATATGCAATAACAAACTGTTTCATTTTTACAAACTATTCAAAAGCAAAGACACTTATTCATACAGGACATTTCAATTAACTGTAATAATAATAATACCGTGTACACACACACACACACAGCTCCAACTAGTCCTATGCTTAGAAGAGTTTGTGTTATAGTTGTCTAACTTGATATATACTTAGAAAACATCCAGACCGTTACAAACAATCATACTCATGAATACAAATGTTTGCGCCGTGCCAGAAATCGAACCTGTGATCATAGGAAGTAAAGCGGTGTGCTAGATCACCGAGGTCAGCTTATGTAATTCAATTTTGATTATTGTGTTTATCACTTACTTTATACTTTTTAATAAATCCCGAAATCAACTAATTGAAGATTTATCCTAAAAAGTAACAACTATTCAATTAATAATAGCTAAATAATTATAATTTTCTGTTGAAATATTCAATTATCTTTTAATATTATATTATAAAATTCAGGCGTTGCACAACCGCCTGCAAACCGAGAAGAGTCGTCTCTCAGCTGCTGTAGCAGCTTGTTCTGCCGCTGCAGCATCAGTGTCTCGACCCTCGTCTCCAGCAGACACCGCACCGCTGCCAATTCCACCCAGGGAGCTCCACGTCCGCGCCCGCCTCGAAGATCTTATCGACCAGGTATTATCCGCGTCTACTAATATCCTTGCATCTGATGTCTTAACGTCATTCTAACGCTTTATTAGTTGATGTTTTGCAACTTTGTTTGTCTTGTTTAAATTTATGTGTTTTGTGGTCATCTCGTGGTCGAAATTCGACCATAATTAATTCAACATTCAGTAAGACTATAGACAAATAATATTAATTACAAACAATATTGATCTGTTCTCAATTTGACCACAGACTTTAACAATAAAGAAACGAGTTTATAACGTGGTAGTGCCACGTATTTGACACACATGTAATGTTATGTATTTTAATATACAAGCATAATTTAAAAATCATTTGCATTCTAAACTCCTTCTTTATAAAATCTATAAGTCTGCAAAATTTCATATTCGTCCGTCCGCGCAATTTTCTTAAAAAGGAGTACATAATTTTTGCTTCACATCACAATTCAAAAACACATTGCTATAGGATATAATTCTATTGTATAATTCGATAAAAATCTTATTGAATAATGATGCCATGCACCATATTTCTTGTCTATGAACTATTATGTTATAATAAAATAAGACAAATCATATTTGTTTATGATTTCCAACGAAATAACATTACTGCAATGACCTATAAAAGTAGTTGAGTAAAAATATAAACAAATATTGCAGTTATTCTAAGTTATAAGATATTCAATATTAAAATTTCATTTTAATCCTCAAATAAGTAAATTTGCTTTCACTTAAGTATTATAAGATACGGAAATAAGCAATAAAGATTTATGTTTTTAAATTCATAAATGTTTCGAGGTTGCCAGGTCTACAAAAAGAACAATACCAACGAGTTTGTAATATATAATGAAGTAAGAATTTGTATTGTACGATATTAGTTGATTGTCGTGGTAGATAGACAGTAGTTAGATAAATTATCAGCTGTAACGTTGGATATGTATTTTTGTGCACCTGGTTCTTATACTGAAACAAGATGATTATTGGTAAAGTTTCCAATCTTATTCAAATTCAAAATTCAAAAATCATTTATTCATATACAACATTTTATGAAAGTCAAATTTTTTATACAGTTCAGTTTTATACAGTACAATTGAGAAGAACTAGCAAGGAACTCAATTGCTAAACAACTTATTTTTTTTTAAAAGCCAATTTATTTACAATATATATTTATATAGGTGTCTATGTATAACATTCAATGAAAATCCCGTGCATAAACAACTATTGCATGCACGATCGTCATTACTTACAAGGGTTTTAGCATAAATAATAGACAACAAAATTATGAAATATTTATGTCAAACTAAACAGTTTGTATGTTTTTGAAACTCAACGAATACGATATGATATAATAATGTAAACAATAAACAAAATTAATTACGGACGCCGATAGCCTTGTCTCTTCCCACTTTTATATATATATCAAGTATTGTTTTAAAAAATTAAAAATAATGTTGAATTTTATTTCGTCTCTTCCCACTTTGGAAAATATCGATATTATTTAAAAAGCTTAATTTTATTGTGAAGTTATATATTGTTAACATTTCAAGATATCTTTAAGAGTGCCTTGAAATATAATAAATTTAATTTTAATAAAAAAAATACTATTAGATAACCACAAAACAATCCAAAGAAAGACAAATATATCAAATCATAGAAAGGAAGAAAGCAAATATTTATTGAACTCTACGATTGAAACTTTAAATTTTAAGGGGGTCTTCCTATGTGACGGCCTGTTTTTTAGGGATATTTTAGGATTTTTTTTCTACGACCAGTAAATATTTAGAACTTCAAGTTTTTTATCATTTATTAACACATATTTGGACAGTATAAATATAAAATTTCAGCTAAAAATATTCAGTCAAACTAGAGTTACAGCGCTCTGAACACCCCCGCCTCGAAAAAAAGAGCTCCCACTTCCTCCACGATTCCGGCTGATCGGCTTATCTGAAAAAAAAAAAAAACGGCGTTTTAATTTGTAGGCTTAAAAGCACGGGATGACCTATAATCAAATGAATATAAAAAAAATTGGATTTTTGATAGACATTTGAAATAAAAGTTGCAAATTAGGCGTTTTTTTTTTTGTTTTTTGCTATAAAAAAATCGAAGTTTTGAAAATTTTCGATTGATAATAGTTCATTCCATGCGTTTACATATATTGAGTGTGCCCTGTAAATTTCAAGTAATTCGGTCCAGCCGTTTCTGAGATACAATGGAGGAAAGTTTGAAAAACACAGTTTTGAGAAAAACGCGTTTAAAGTTTCAAGTCCGTTAAAAACTATTAAAATATCAACTTACTCTCAATCGGCGATGCCTGGTCCATAGAGTATTCCTTCCTCTTCCTCGTGAAACTCTTTTAAAGCAGATTGTTCAGCTCTTGAGTCAATCCTGGCTTGTTTAACGACATCACTTACGCGCCGCTCAGAGCGTAAGATTCGCTTTTCATCCCGTTTCTCAACATACGCTTGGGCTTTACGACCAACAGGGCATCCCATAATCAACATAACTTTTAAAATACCTTGAAAACCTTCATTAAAGAAAATAACTGCTAAGTAGCTAGCAATTTCAACAACTTTGGGACCAGAATGAAGATGTTTAGGAGCGAAAGTCCAAATCAAAGAATTCAAAGATTCGTTATTGTTTTGTGTCTCTGCTCCTAAACAACGAATTAATAATTCGTCTTTCGATAAATCTTCGAAAACCGGTTTGATAGCTTCTTGGACTTGCGGAATTAGAGGTGGTTTATCGTGATGAAATTGGTCCAGTTCATTATTAGCTTCAGCCTTACGCCATTTACACCAACTGTCTTCGCCTTCTGGACAAAATTGATGCTGAGGGTTTTCATCAGAAGAACATTTGTGATAGTACGTTGCCCAAACTTCCTTTCTCATATCTTCAAGCGAATCTGGATGGCGTCGAATTGCTAATCCGTAGAATTTTGTAATTTCTTGGATAACTTTATCAGTAAGTTTACCTAAACGTGTCTAAACTTGTATAAACAAATATATTAATAAAAGGGAGGCCAGGTATAAAGCCGACGGTACACAATAGGCCCGGTCTCTAACTGCCAACTCACCGCTCCGAACCGCTCTTTCTTTTACCTGCTGTATCTTTAAAACGACTTCGAATTTTCTAAAATCGCTTTACTACCGTATTCTAGACATGTTAAGGGAGCAATTTATGAAAAAAAAAATCGATTTTTTCAACCCATCACATAGGAAGACCCCCTTAAATCGTTTACCCTATTAGTGAAGTACCCTTATAGTTTCAGTTTTTAAATCAAATAGTGGTCCCTGTAAATACATAGATAAACCATTCTAGTCTTCTTATTTCATTTCAATGGCAACTAAATGTATTTTCCCCAGAATAATAATAATAATGTCACGACAATTCACACAGCGCCATCTAGAACCAAATTAAGCTACCTAAAGCTTGTGTTATGGGTACTAGACAACTGATACAAATACATAGATATTTTTTTTCGTAAATATATATATAGTTATACATAGAAAATACCCAGACCGATTCAAACAATCATACTCATGTATACAAATGTTTGTGCCGTGCGAGGAATCGAACCCGCGACCATCGGATGCCGGTGTGCTAAACCGCTAGACCACCGAGGCCGTCGATGTTCTTTACATGAGAATGTTGAACGACTGCGCATTCTGTAGCAATTTTTAGATCCTTTGGGATTTCTGCTATAAGTGACATTCCGGGGATTACTGTTCTAATAGCGTATTTGTCTCTATGGGTATTAGCATTATAGTGTATATATACTTTGTCTACGCTAATATATTACTAAAATAAATATTTTAGGTAGCGTACAGCATGCAATAATTTCATTTCACCTTTATTTCATGTACAAGAAATCACTATTGTTCTTTCTGATTAGGTGTTTCATGGAAATAGTTAACTTAAACAGTTTACTTACGAATAATCGTCTTGGCTCAGAATATAATGAAGCCACTATTTGAGCAAGGAAGTGGGCACAAGAAATACACTGTATCTCAGTGCTATTGCACCGTATGTAAATATTATCACTACATTGAAACTATGTACGTACTCATTGATAGTAGAATCACGTTGAGAGAATTAAACTGTAGCATATTAATTGGTAGATATATCAGATTTATCTTCACTATTGACCAAATAATACATTTTAAGAAAGCCACTAAATATAGCAACTGAATGACTGGTCACGGAAACATAAGGACTTAGTCCTTAGAAATGGCAAGAGATGAGGCACTAGTAGTGTTATAAAATATTTTGAGGAGTCCTTTAATAGCGATGGTCTTGAAAAACTCTATTTAATTGATCACAATCAAACTATTTTTCTACTTATTTATAGTTTATCCATTAAGTATACACTTTAAATGCCTTTAGAATTACAAATTGTAATTAATTTGTAATTACTTATTATGAACATCTACACTCTGTAATGATTATAATTTATAATCAGTGTAGAGTAGTTATTGAAACTCTCTTAATTTTAAATACGGTAGATGAAATTTCTACTCTTACTAAGCAACTAAATTTTGATACTAAAAAGCACCCAATGCTCTTATATATACACCTGCATTGTAACATGGCGTTTACATAAATTACAAAAACATGTGCTGTGACAAACATTTTGAATACTAGCTGTGACATGTTTGTCACATTAAAATTATTATATATGTTATGATTAAACAAAATGTTTTTGTGTGAACGCAGTGTTTGTACTAATCGCACTTGATGTCATGTTGTGTGCTATTCTGCATGGTTTGTTATAGACACATGTGAGTGATGTACACAGCGCCCCACGCCACCAATCATTACAAAAGAATCAGGAAACACCCGACTACAATGAAAAGTTGTTGGCTTTTGAAGAAAAGGTAAGGATGCACGCGCAGTTCATTTTGGCAGCATTATCCCATCCAACAAGCCAGACAACATTGTTTTAATGGTTGATAATGGAATCGTGAGCTCGCTTGTGCTGACGGTATACGCTGGCGGGGCACTTGTGGAGGATAATAGGATGAGAATTAGATCAGGCCAGTTAATTCATCGTGGCTAATTCATCAGGAATTTGTCACAATGATTTCCAGTGGTGTGGAGGTCAACCTGACATCGTACATTGTTAGAAATGGGATCATCAGTCCACATTACGTACAATTTCCTTTCCCCATCTAAGCCAGATATTATTGAGTTAAATTATATTACCATACATGGTTTTTATTTCTGGGTATATGCACTTAATTCTAATTCTTGCCATTATACTCTATCAAGTGAAGTAAGAGAATCTTATACCCAAATTGATGTAAAAGAAACTCTAATCTTCTGTACTTTTAAGATATAAAATGCGTTGACTCCATTGTTAACTCTTGTCTAATATCCATATTTATGAAATAATCCTTTTTTTACATACACATATGATGATGCATTGAATAGGTTTAAAGTTCCATTTTTTAATGTTGGTTCAAATGAGCAATCTTATTTAGACTTGTCAAAGTGCTGGGAATATAAAACTGCTAATTTATCATAGCATTGTTAAAATTCCTTCAAAATAGTGTAATATTCACGTTTCAAAATTATAGATCTAGGTTTAGTATTTCTCAAATACGCTTACATCATCACATGAAATTTCATGCTTTTTAAAACGTACGATTGCATGACGTCACTCTGCACATAAATTTTTTTTCTACAAGTTAATCAAAATTTTATTGTTATTAATGTTTTTATATCTGACTAGGTACAAAGTCACTTGGAGACATTAGGAGATGCTGTCCATAGTATGGAGGAAGCTATGAAGCAAGTTGTTGAGATTGAAGAATGGATCACTCTACATAACGCTTTAGCCCGCGATTGGCTCGCTAATCCATCCAAATTAAGGCCAGATGCTGCAAAACAAGATATATCTGCAATGAATGATGCCTTGGTTTCACTTGGAGAAAAGAGGAATAGACTGCTTACTGAAATTCCCACTGAAGGTACGTTTCCTACATTATATATGTTATACTTTAACAGAGTTTACTTGCATATGTATTGAAGACAACGCAAATAAATTGTCCTATGTGTGTATAATTAATTTATTTGCTAAATTAATAGACTATTACTATCCCCATCATCTAATTCTGCTAGCTACTTCATTTGAGATGAATTGGCAAAAAACTGAAAGGGTTATAAACTCGATCGGTTTTTACATAACTTAGTAAATAGGAGTATACGAGTATGTCTAACATATTAAATTATTGAAAATCTTTTCTCAGAATCGTCTATTAGAATTATAGACAGTTATTTATTGAATTAATAAATATTTCTTAATAATAAATTACAATTAATAGCAAGATGCAAATTAGGTCCTAATTAATTTCAAGTTTAACTAATTTTTAATATTTTTTCAGGCCTGGAAGATGAAATCAATCTAGAAGAGGAGCTGGATAACTTAGAACAAAATATCCTTAAAGCAATAGAACGTGAAAAGGGCAATCAAGCTATTATTGACAATTTCCGACACAAATGCCAAGAGATTCACGATTGGTTCGATTCAGTACTGAAGAAGATGTGTTTAGCAGATAAGGGGTCTGGTCTTCCTTGTCCACAAAAGCTGAGTGCACTAAAAGAACTTACATCCGAATTTGGACAAGCTGGCAAAGAAAAAGTAGAGAACATTAAATCTGTTGGCTCACAAGTTATCAACATCGTTAGTAACTTGGAATCTCAACAAGTGGAAGAGCAAGTAAGTATAACGATGATTTTTATTGTTTCTGTTTAAAAAAAGTTTAATTGTAAGAATCATGTATTATAAAACATGCTCTCAAGGGTAGATATGTATCAAATGTCAAGGTTAACAGTTTATTTGGTTTTGATGCTAATTTTAAATTTTCTTTTTCTAGATGAAATCCGTCGAAAGAAGATATAATGATATAGCTAAGCGTATTCAACGTAAATTACAAATGCTTGAAATTACATACAAAGCTATTGATGGTACTAAGAGTGAAGTTAATGCTCAGAATGAATGGATGCAAAAGGAGATCGACAACATTGTCCATCCTGAACCACTTGGTTATGAAAGCAAGTCAGTGAAAGAACGACAAAAGAAGGTAGCTAACTTATTAAAAGAAAATGATGGTAAGAAAACAGTTATTGACTCCTTGGAAAAGAAAGTGAGCAACATTCAATCAGAACTTGAACCTTCTGAACAATTGCAATTAGAATCGGAGTTATCTGAACTAGCTTCCAAACAAAAACAATTGGCTTCACTAATTAAACAAGAGATTGAAAGACTTGGTAGCTGTACTGAAGATAGGAAAAAGCTGGAAAATGATATTGAAAAAGCTAAGAATTGGTTAAAGGCCAAATTAGCAGAGATTAAGAAGTTAGGTGGGCCAGTACCGCTGGAAGTAGCTAAAGTTGAAAAAGAAATTGCCGTTCATAAGAAGCACCAAGGTGAATTATCAGATTTCCACAATGATACACTAAATGAAGTCATACGCCAAGGCAATGCTATATCAAAAGATTGCTCAAGTGAAGACAGAGCTAAACTTCAAAGCATATTAGAAGATTTAAATAAACAGTATACCTCAGCGAAGGTTGATATTGATGACAAACTTGCTGCATTAAATAAATTATTACAAGGAAGGACCGATTTTGAAACAGAAGTCACTAAATGTCAGATTTGGCTAAATGAGGCTGAGGTAGCAGCCACCCCTGAATTACGTACTACTAGTCTTCAACTGTTAGAAGAACAACTGGCCAAGTTCGAAAAATTAAGCAAAGAAGCAGAGGACGTAGAAAAGAACATAAACAAAATCAAAGACAAATCTAAAGACATCCTGGACACTCTGTCAGATTCAAACAAACTACAGCTTAAAGAACAGGTTAATATTCTTTCTGATAGATTTGCAAGAATCAAGGCCATAATTAATGACAAGAAAAATATTTTATTGAAACACATTAAAGAATATAAAGATGCTGCAGCTAAAATTGCTGCTGCTCTTGAGTTCTTACATGAAATTCAAAATAAATTAAAAGCTTTAAATAAACCTATTGGTAGCAAAGTTGAAGATGTTCAACCTGTTATACAGGCTTACGAATCAATTCTGGCGGACCTGAAACAGAACAAAGCAATGCTTAATGAGTTACAAGGTGGCAACTTGCATGATTTACAAGATATCCTTACACAACAAGATGATTTAATGAGCACTATTGAAGATCAAATATCAAAATTAAAACAACTACTTTTGCTACGAGAACAATTTTTCTTACTTATTAAAGAAATTGAGGACTTCATTTCCAAATATACAGATCTCACAGCCGAAATTGAGAAATCGAATGACTCGATTGAAGATAAAATTAAGCGTTATGATGATATTATAGGAAAAATTCAGGGCTGCGAGGCTTTACTTGCAACAGCTACTGATAAGGGCCAACAAATTGCTGCAGAAGGTACAGTTATCGATAGAAATAACATTACGGAATTATTACAATCTTTAAAACAACAGCTCCTAACTCTAAGAAGGACTGTAGAGTCTAAACGTCAAGAACACGAGAGAGCTGCAGCTGAACATAAAAAACTCGCTGCAGATTTATCTGTTATCCTACAATGGCTTCATGATAATGAGGCTGCAGTACATTCTCGTCCTCTTCTTAATCGAGATGTTGCTAGTGTTGATAAAAAACTGGGTGAACATACTACATTAGCTAAAAACATTCAATCATATTTGGATAAACTAACCAAGATTACAGATATAATTAAGAATGATGATGGCGTTCCTGGATCATTATTAGAAATGGTGTCCGAAGCCAACTCATTAAAGACATCATTACCAGCTGAGCTCGCTAACCGGGAAAAATATTTGCAAGATAACAAGAAAAATAGGCAACAGTACATACAACTGGTAGAAAAACTTAACATTTGGGTAAATGAAGCTGGAATTAGATTAGATATGGGAAACAATGGCACTGACTTTGAAAACATCGAAGCTGATCTAGAAGAGCATAAATCATTCTTCAACATATCCGAGCCAGAAATGAAGGATTTGGTAGGAAAACGTATGCAAGACATCGTAGATAAGATTTGGCCGTCTCTAGCTGCTTCAGAACAAGAAGAATTGTCTAAGGATCATCAAAAACATAACCAACTCTTGAAAAATACTTTGAATTCATCAAAATCTCGTCAAGCACAACTGGAACAGGATCTTGAAATCTGGAAAGACTTCTGTCAGTTGGTGGAGAAGATAAAGGCTATCCTTGATAAAAATGATATTCAAGAGGAACCTATCACCTCCGTAGACAGTTTAAGAGTACACCTTGGGAAGCTGAATCACGCCAAGAATGATTTAGAGGTAAGTTTTAGTATACTTTACTTATTAATAATTGTTAAGATTTATCAGAATTTATATTATTTATTGTGCGGTTTAGTGTGATCGTTTAGATATTTTATTTCTTTATATGCACAGTCATTGTACACGCTACAATTACACACAACTTTCACATATTTATGAGAAATTACACGAATACATTAATTACCGAGCACGAAGTTAATAAATGTATAATGAAGTTAATACTTCTAATATATAAAATTCTCGTGTCACAATGTTAGTTACCATACTCCTCCGAAACTGCTTGGCCGAATTTAACAAATTTTACATGCATATTCAGTAGGTCTGAGAATCTGCTACTATCTATTTTTTACATCTCTCAATGATAAGGATGACCCATCCCTATTTTATTTTCTGGACAACATTTTTTTGTTACGATCGGCTATATGTTATTCTATATTGCTATAAAGTTTCATCAAAATCCGTTCAGTAGTGTTTGCGTGAAAGAGTAACAAACATTCATCCATGCTCATAAACTTTCGCGTTTATAATCTACATATAAATAAAATTGGAGTGTCTGTTTGTAATATTGAAATAACCGTTTTTACTACATGCATATGAATATAAATACGGTACATATACCATTTTTTATATATAACATTTTTTACAATTGTTGTCTGGTCTGTCTGTTTGTTCCGGCTACTCTCTAAAATGGCTGGCCTATTTTGACGGGTCTTTATTGGCAGATATTTGAGGTAATAAGAAGTAACTTAGGCTACTTTTATTTTAGAAAAATTCTCTAATTAATTTTTTTTGTTAAATTCCATGCGGACGAAGTCGCAGGTATAGCTAGTAAGAAATATAAATGACATAAGTTTAATATTTTTATTCTTGTGTATTATATATATTAAATATGAGAGTTAAGTCTGTCTTTATAATCTAAACTCTTAAATACATATAAAACTAAAATAAAATACCAGTAAACGACGTACAGTAAGTAGCAAACGAATAAATTACATATAAATGATATCATTGTAAATTCAAATTATATCACACGCAGACGCCGCGACGGTGGTTCATTTTTATGTATTTATAATTAGTTTTAAAATATTTACGTACTACAGTCAAAAGATTCGGTAATACGGATAATCAGTTATAGTTTTTTTTATATTATGTATATGCATGTGCAATTATAAATAAATAAATAAACACTACAATGGTGGAAAATCTACATTTTTTCGGACTACTCTAATGCTGTTTGCTGCAGCTGGCCTTTACAGCTTCACCGGACGATAGGGGGCGAGTGCACATGGCACTCCTTTTTTTTTCTTTTCGGACTACTCTAATGCTGTTTGCTGCTTTTAAAAGATATACGCGAACATCGGAAGCGACTTAATTTTATACTATACTAGCTACTCGCCCCGGCTTCGCACGGGTATACATGTATTATATATATAAAAACCTTCCTCTTGAATCACTCTACCCATTTAAAAAAACCACTTCAAAATCTGTTGCGTAGTTTTAAAGATTTAAGCATACATAAGGACGGACAGACAGCGACAGCGACTTTGTTTTATACTATGTAATGATAAAGATAAATATATATTAAAAATTGGGTTTTAATGTAGAGTGAAAAGATTCCAGTCAAATCTAGGAGGGAAATTGAATAATAATAATATTCCTGAACAATTCACACAGCGCCATCTAGTCCGAGGAAAAGTAGAGCTTGAGTTATGGGTACTAGACAACTGATATAAATGTGTACATAGATACATATTGTTTTGTAAATGCATACATAATATCCATAAAAAACACCCAAACCAATATGAATAATCATACTTATGAACACAAATGTCCACCGTGCGAATTAAACCTGCGACCATTAGAAGTAGTAGTTTAACCGCTAGACTACCGCGGCCGCCATATCATAATATGTATATATATATTACATATATGTACACGTTTGGATTCATACAAATTTAGGTACTTACATCATCCATACGGTCGTTTGTGGTCGTGACCATGACTCTTGTCAAGGTCGCAATTATCGACGAGTTCTAATAAATATAATTGGGGTAAGTAACCCCGCCATTATGTATGTGATTGTTCAATTATCTGTGCTCTAATTTGATTCATTTATTTTTATAAGTACATTTTTAGGATGATATATATGTTAAATATAAATATATTTATTAAAAAAAATAAAATAATTAATACTATGTACCGTATATACAATTTATGTTCATATGCATGTAATAAAAAACGGTTATTACAATATTACAAACAGACACTCCAATTTTTTTGGATTCATTTGTAGATGATATAAAACATACAATTTATGTTACATTATAGTTTTGTTGAATACTATGTGTACATAAACGTACAAAAACATATTATTTCCGCCACTCCAAATTATCTTTATTCATATAGGTCTATTACAAACACTTATAATAAATCAGTTCTGCCAGTGTGAACGTCTTGACCTAGTAATTAACTCTACCAACACCCAAAAACCGCCAGTACGAATCTGTGCGACACCAAAAAGTTTATATTAGTGACTAACTTTCTGAATATGGAAACACCGATAACAAATCTATTTAACCTGAGTGACGTGGTGGAATCGATCCTATGTAACAACATTGGATTAAAATTTACAAAGCGAAATGTGAGCAAGTCTAGAATTCAATGTCCAGAATAAAAAAAAACCGCTTCAAAATCCGTTGCGTTGTTTTAAAGATTTAAACATACAGTTAAAACATACTATTATAGTTAAAAATAGAATAAAGGAACATTGAATATTTTGTGCGACATTTTAATTTTTTTTTGAGAGATCGCGGGTCGCTTTTTACCGAATGTATTTTTAAGAGATGATAAGATAAACATAAGAAGTCATCATGGCAAATTCACCAGGAATTTTCCTGATGGTTGTCACGAGGAACCGTGTGCTGACAACCTGATATCGTCGGTTAAATACAAAAGCGGCAGTATTCAAAATGTATATTTTTCTTGTCTTGTAGAGAAGCATTAAATTATCTAAATATATATAACTCTAAGGTGACTGACATAGTGATCTATCAACGCACAGCCCAAACCACTGGACGGATCGGGCTAAAATTTGGCATGCAGGTAGATGTTACGACGTAGGCATCCGCTAAGAAAGGATTTTGATTAATTCTACACCCAAAGGGATAAAATAGGGGATGAAAGTTTATATGAAACTTTGTCAATTTTAAACCGATCGGGCTGAGACTTTGCATGCATAAAGCTACTATGACGTAGGCATTCTCTAAGAAAGGATTTTGATAAATTCCACCCCTAAAGGGATAAATTAACGCGGGCAAAAATGTTTAATTTTTTTCCAATTATTTTTTCCTTTAAAGTTATAAATTTACACAAGTATCTCATTTTAAAATATATCATTTTAAAAATATTTAGATAATGATTATGACGGAGGGGTCAATTTAATTGACTTATATAAAAGGAGGCAATTCAACCTCCTAATTTTGAAAAATGACATTTTTTCTATTTATTCGACGATATGGTACATTGCTAACGAGCATTGCCCCCTTGCCTAATGGTTAATCCAAGACTGTGTTCTATCATTTAGCCAATACTTCAGATAATACACGACTTATCAGTATCTGTAATAGATATGGTTTCTATAAAAACAATATGTAACATAAACAATATCTCTTTTTGTCTCGTTCATTAAATTTTATATAAGCAGCAATTGTATTAGTATTTATTTAAACAAATAAAGTATTATTATTATTATAATCTATACATATAAACTAAATTGGAGTGTCTGTTTGTAATACAAATAACCGTTTTTTACTACATGCATATATAATGTATATAAATACGGTATATACAACAAAATAACATTTTTTACAATTTTTATCTGTCTGTCTGTCTGTTTGTTCCGGTTAATCTCTGAAATGCCTGGACCGATTTTGACGGGACTTTTTTTAGCAGGTAGCTGATGTAATAAGGAGTAACTTATTCTACTTTTATTTTATAAAAATAAAGTTATATTCCACGCGGACGATATCGCGTGTACAGTTAGTATACACATAAAAATTACGAGGTAATCAGTAGATTTTTAAATGAATAGGAGTAAAACAAAGTGATAATTTGCTCAAGAATTTAGACTAAAAATGTAAATTGGACTCCAGTCTTCGCAATTAGCCGCTCTTTTGGGCCGTTGTACGTGAATTTTGACTAATACAATAAAATAAAACCAAAAAGTTAGAACTGTAGAAGTTAATGATTTCTTTTAATCATTTAATCTTTATATATAGTACAAAATGCAGAGGCTTCCGCTATCTGTTCGCTTAGATCTTTTAAATTACGCAACGAATTTTAATGCAGTTTTTGGCAATAGACGAGTGTCGAGTGACGAGTGATTCAAGAGGAAGGTTTATATGTATAAGTACACCCGAGCAAAGCAGGGGTGGGTAGCTAGTTTATAATAATTTATATATGAGATTTAAATTAATAAGTTGATTACTGTAGCATGGCAGCATAGTTTTATAGGTGTAAGTTCTTTTTATATGATTTTTTTTATACTACAATGGTGGCAATCAAGCATACGGCATCTGATGGTAAATGGTTACCGTAGCCTATGAACGCCTGAAACTCCAGGGGTAGCAATATAATATATCCTTCTTAAAAAACCCCATGCTGTAGTCTCGTGGGAAAACCTCGGCAGGAGGTTCATTCCGCAATCAAAGTGTACGCGGGAGGAAGCTCCTCTGAAACCGCAAATATTTATCAAGTCCATTCATTATAAACACTAAAATATCTCCTTTTTCAACTGCTTATTGGTGTAGATGATTTAAAAATATATAATCTAACCATTAAACGAGTTGGGGCGGCGCATTGTCGACAGAGGCCATGATCGACGTTCCGGATTGTATCTGGCGCAAAGGATTTCCCTAGCAATTCAACGTGGAAACACTGCGAGCGTTATGGGAACCTCTAAGCCATGTACGATACGGGACAGTCTTAGCAATTAACTTTTA